ATAGCAATAATAACAGTAATTATTAATGCCATGTTAAGATGAATTTATAATTGAAAATAAGAATTTGTCATAGAAGGGAGTTGGTACAAATCTCAATGAAAGAATAGGGGAAAGAAAATTTATGATTTCTTTTGATAAAATTTGATTAAAAATAGGACATTCCCTCTGAAAACCAAGGCTAACAACAAGACCGATATATCTTATATGCGGATAAATGTGGTTTTCTTGAGTTGTTGCTAATTCCTTTCTGCTATGTAGAAGAGACTTAATCTTTTACGTTTAAGCATCGTACATCGGACTTTATATAAAACTCGTAGGAAATCTTCAATCTTCGTGCGGTGTTTATTATCAGTAAAGTGAAAGAGAATGACACTGCTTACAGACATAGTGATTCCTTCTCCTTATTATACTGGTACATGTTAACGATCTGCTAATGACAGAGCCCTTTAGATACAACTTTAGATACAAACTGATGAACAAACTCGACTAGATGCATCATTGATATTATAGCCTTGTTTTATTAGACTAGGATTTCGTTAGTTTAAAAAATGACCTGATTAACATTTCACTCGATCTATTGATCTATAGATTTATTAGATTATCAATGGCATAACCATCATTGAAACAAAGTCATAAGTGGAAAGCTCCCTTTTCAATTGTAACAATTCACATCATGTATAAATGTTAAAAACATCAAATTTATCTACTATGAAAGTTTTTAAAACATGCATTAAATAGATACAATAAAATTCATTAATAACAAATGAATGAGAGCTAATTTTCTTTTTCAATTGTATATCCAATTAAAAGAAATGTATTGTTGGGAGAATTATCTAAAATCTAACATTTATATAAGTAGTATACAATTATTGTGTGAAAAAGAGAAAGCATTCATTAATTTACAGAAGATTTTCTTTTATTTCAAAAAATTAGAAAATTTAACTTTTATTACTTTTAATTGATATTGATATAAACGTTTTGTTTGTGAATTAAAACAAAAGAAGAATATGTTTATTATATTGAAAATTAACAGTAAAGAATATAATGTTTATGTATTACAAAGTAATTATCATTTTATTCTATAACAATCGGAAACTTCCTAACTAATTCTTATGTTTCCTAAAACTATTGTTATTTAAACTATTCACCATAGCAACTATTTTATTTGATTCTTCTTCAGCTAATATAAAGTTTATAAAACAAAAAATAAAATCATAGTTTTACTGACCAAACTTTTATTCATCCCTACTAATGATGAATTATCAGAAAATACTACTGTCTATGAATATAATATTAATCATGATCAAAAGTATGATTTGCAAATTGATGAATAATTTCATGGAAATATAAGTCTTTATTCAGGGTTTATCCACAGATCATCTTGACGTATTAGCTAATCAAAAAAATGTTTGCCCATTTAAAAGGTAAATAAATAAATCATTTTGATATAATTTATGCTTAGTAATACATGAATTTTATTATATTTTTCATAGTTTGATGTTCTTTAGATTTCAAAGATACCTTTGAAAGTATTCCAAACCTTAGATATAATAGTCAACCGTTGTATCATATCTTTATGTATTATAAACAATATCAATAAAATATGAATAAATTTATTTATATCGATATTGAGAATTAGAGTTTTAGACTATTGGTAGAGATATAGAAACAGGTTTCTCTTAAACTGAAAATTGAGTGAAGATTTCTGTTCTATGAGCAATAAAAAGATATTAATTAGTTAAATGATGTAATGCACAATTTTAAATGTAGACTTTGGTTGAACCCAGTCATTATGAATTATGTGTACTTATACGAATATGTTCGTAGTTAGTTTGACAAAACGCTACGTAACATAATATGAATTGTAAGATTTTTAAGTTCCAAACTTTGATTCTAGATATTTAAATTCAATTCCTACGAATTGGCTTGGTTAAACGTTGTTTAAATACTTTTTTCGAAAATTTACTATCTTTTCTAGAAAATAACAAAATTTAAATAAAAATTCGAAATTCTTCTTTTGGTAGTCACTTTCCCATCAGCTGAAACTTTTTATGAAATAAAAACTAACCATTTGATCTGTGATGAAAGGGAAACATTTCAGAACACGTACTACTTAAATGATTGTTAATAAGTTTCGCAAAATATTAAAAGCCTCATAAGCTCAAACATTAAACTGTGGTGTTGAGAAAATAAATATTTCAAAACTATTATTCTTTGGAGAGAGGGGGGAATAAAATTAGTAAACTTACTAATTGTGCTCTTATTAAATATAGTATAAGTGTAGTAGACGTCACTCACAGGGGTATTAATAAGTAACGTGTGACGGAATGTGTCGTCGAGGTTGCAATGATTATCAGATGGAATGAAGAGTTTCAGTGCATCGAAAACACAGCGTTGGCATAACACTTGGAGACCATACCAGAAAACAGTTCAGATTGCAAAACATACCGAAAGCTACAAATGGACGACCGAAGGCTCTGTATATGTAATATGTGAATACCCGGCAACATTCCTCGTGTTTTACACAAGTGCCATTCATATATATATATATATATATATATATATATATATATATATATATATATACCCTTAACTCTTCAAAAAACCAAATCAAATAACAAAAAGACAGGCAGTTTTGTTTTTATTTACTTTTAAAATTAATCACGAAGTCTTAATAAAGTATCTAAACAAACCATTGTTTTCAAACCTAAATTATTTTGAACATACAAGATAAATTTTATATCATTGAATAAGAAAAAGAGAATTCAGCTAAGAAAATTTTCTTTTCGACGAAATCATTTACTTAAGCTGTACATTCGTATATATAGTTATATGGAAAATATATATCGATAGAAGGATAGAAAGGATTGTATCACAAAAATGTTGGATTCGAGAATAAATAACAAATGAGGTTAACGTACTAATCAAGGGGTAAGGAAGAACAGAATTTATGGGTCAGATAATAGTCCATTTGGCAGATATGAAGAAAAGCCACAAACAACAAAGGTCATAATAATAAACTGAATGATAATAAAGAAAACTTGTATAAGGTAATAATAATCAATGATTAGAGTTTAAAATGCAAAATAATAATTTAAAAAATATCGATAATACTTAGATAAAAGTGCAGAAAAACAACCAAGACAACGGAAAAAAAACACCAACACAGAAACATATCCATTAAGGGAATTAGGGCCAAGGAAGAATGAGAGGTTGGACAAATCGTTTCTGCACGCAAAGTTCAGGCTTGAGTTTGTGGATTGCCAATGTTTGTGGCTTTTCTTCATATCTGCCAAATGGACTATTATCTGACCCATAAATTCTGTTCTTCCTTACCCCTTGATTAGTACGTTAACCTCATTTGTTATTTATTCTCGAATCCAACATTTTTGTGATACAATCCTTTCTATCCTTCTATCGATATATATTTTCCATATAACTATATATACGAATGTACAGCTTAAGTAAATGATTTCGTCGAAAAGAAAATTTTCTTAGCTGAATTCTCCTTTTCTTATTCAATGACACTATGGGTTATTTTAAAAATCTCATATCAATCATTTGATCACGATATTATTATCGGTAGTAAGTAGACGTTTTAGAGAAACTGTGTGTATATTGAAATTCTTTTTTGTTTCATGACGAAATAACTTTCTCATCTTCATTAAAAAATAACATGATCAATCAATATGATCAAATGAAGATGTGAACATGGTGTATGCAATCAGAAGAAATGTGTATGCGATAACTGTTGGGTAGGCAAATTTTGCGAAGTATCAGGTTAGTGAAGTCATTTAAGTTACATGTAAAACAACTTTCGTTTACTAAGAACAGATTTCGCACTAATCAAAATATTTTCATCGTTATCTCATTTCCTATAGATCATAATCATCCCATTGTAATTATAAATGATTATAATGTGATCGCATAAAGCTTTTTGATCACTGATCCCAAATTGTGGACGAGAAAGCAATTTTGAGTGGTTTCAAGTATTGATGTTTTATGAAGTATGTAACACGATTCAAAGTAACATACAAGACATAAGGAAACTTCTATTATTGATTGGAGCAAAAGGTGTATATGGAATTTTTAGTTTTAATTGTGTGAAGAAATATAAACCATAAATAAACATGATGGTATAATGCAAAGATGATAATACTAGATTATATTGCGTACATTATAATGATCAATGTTGTATAACTGCAACAGCATGTGTACAAATAAAAAGCATGTAAAATTAATAGACTAACATTAAGTTTTTGGAATTTACAATGTGTTAATAATCTTGAACAGTATGGAGTATGACTCGATCTTCATGATTGAAACTTGACACAATGATAACAAGTTAGTCCATATGTTAACCGTTTGGAGACAAAATAGAAATATTTACGAAACGTTCAGTTCAAAATAAAAGCAACATTTATTTCCTCAAGTCCTATGACTTTTTATTTATATCAAATTCAAATTATATAACTATAAAATCACTATTTAGTTAGATGGATGTCGAAAGACCTTATTTCATGCCCATTAAAAGCAATAAATTCTTGTTGAATTCTGAATTATATCGACCTCCCGAAACCCTAGTTTTTAATAAACTTATGAAATGGTAAACTAAGATCATTTCTAAATCATATTCGTCGAGATAATTAATAGCCTAGAAGTGATTTGGTTTTCATGATGCACTTCTTGAAATATATTGAAGTTACGAAGAATAATCATATAAGTTATAAGATGAAACGTTTCATTTACGTTTCTAAAAGCTTGTCTTAATTAGTTGCTAACATAACAAGTAAATCATTCTTCATTTTATAAACAGAAATAAATGAAATTATTTAAAAGTATAACCAGTAACATAGATATCAATAAACACTACCGGAAACTAGTCACAAGAAAATAATAACACAAACTGTTCATTCCAATAATATTTAAAGTTGTTTGGCTTGAACTGACTGTGTTCGAAATATTTAATATTTATTTTAAACTTGCGGCGTGTATTTAAGTTGGCGCCACAGTTAACCATTCAACTTCTGATATATCAAGACATCACATTATACTTGGTGATTGCTTCTATCCAGTTTTAGATAATATTCGTTTTACCTCAGATAGTTTTAAAATTACTGTGTCACCAAGTTCTATCGGCATTCCAAACAAAATTATTGGACAACTTACATTTCGAGATGTACGAAGTGATCAAATAGAGGAATGTGGGCAATTATTTTTTTTACTTGGAGGAGTCCAACATTATAACTATCCAATTTATGTAGAAAACGGTACAGGTTTCATTCGCTTTAGTCCCCTTAACAATTTTAATTGGCCAAAGCTGATACATCACAAAATTTACATGACTGTAAAATTATATGTCAGACCAAATAAGGAAATGGATTCATCGCGAATTGTCATCTCCTGGAATTATTTTACGAAAGATCAACAAGGAAAACAGTCGAAGTCCCAAAACGATGATTTCCATCTGGAGAGGCTTAGGAGGGTGCGTACCGTTTTTGAGTAAAATTAACCATTTTTTTGTTTTGACAGAGTTACCTTTGAAACACATTTTCGATCTCCAGTTAAAGGAAAAGAACTTTGTGAATAAACTAATCTATCGTGTGGTGGATTTTAGTGCCGTATTAAGATTTAATTAATAATCAGCAAAATATGGGTAAAGCGTTTGAAAATGCAAAAGCCAACCCTTGCCTTAGTTCGTCCAAAATCTCACATGAATGCGAAATCCTGTATATTAAACAGTCAAACATTACTATAAACTAAAAGGTGTAGAAATTTTTCATGTATTGGTTTTCCACAACTGAGATTAAAAATTTAGTGTAAAAGCATGAAAGGAGATTTTTAGCTGTTCTCGTATACTAATTTCATAGTCGATCAAATTAATTTAGTGCTTAACATGGAGTCACTAATACGTTTGATTTGATTACCTAATCTATGGTTTGTTGAATCGTTTAGCAGTTAGATGTAAAAAATATAAACCACCTGCTAATAATCACCTTCACATACCTTAACAAACTGTATGAAATGAAGTATACTGCATTTGTCAATATTCTTCTGACTTTAGAATTATCTGTGTAAAACAACTGACTTCTTGACGTCATTGGATAGCTGAGTTGGGATGTTTATTTTCATTCCGAAAGTGTGGAAATCATTGAAATGACTTCCATGGAGGCGATTCAATACAAAACCTCTGTTGGTTTGTCAGATCCAACAAAGTAAAATATATCTAGATTACTGTCTAAAATAAGGTTAAACACTAGAAGATACTGTAAGCCAATTACTTACATATATAATTAACAAATAATTCTATAAAACCATATATCCCTAAGACATTTAAATTTATAGAACTGAATTGTATAACGATTTTTGGGTTTACTTGCCCTCAGAAAGTTACATCAGTAAAAATTACAATTATTAACATAACAATACTTGAAGTAAATAACACTTAAATGATATCGAAATCTAGAACCAACAACGTTCTCATATAAGAATTATTTCCCAATCCAGGATAACAGCATTTTTGAGTATATTATTAGATATATGTGCATTACTTCTCGAGATCGATAGATAACCATAGAGAAAAATATAAAATAAATGGTTGAACTTTGCTGTAGTCATAGAAGAAAAAAGTATTAAGAATTATCATACTTGATTATAATTTTCGGAATGAAATCCAATATTGGATTGGGCTCCCAAAGTAAACGATAACCACAGTCTTTTTAACAGTAACATTAATACGACAACAATATAAATAAGATGTAATGGAACGCGAATGAAATGAAATTTCAATTCAGCCGTTTACTAGCCAAAGTGGAGATTCGTCTGGAATTCAAGTTATTTCAGCAGTCCTGATTCCAGATTCATAATATTCTGTAGAATTCTTACATATAAAACCTTTATTGTAAATGTGATGCTATATTTAATTATAATATCGTGATTATTTTTCACAAACATTCTAATATCAGAATTCCATCAAAACAATATTTGATGAATAATTTTAGAGTGTGAACCCTTCAAACCTACAACTTCTCGTGACGAGAAGTGATGCAGCTACCAATACATTGTGTCCGACTGAAGTAATAGCACTAAGTGTTCAGCTTGGTCTACCTGCTGGTACAACTGCAATAACAGTTGAATTGTTTGGTCCTACTAAAGATACTATAATCTACGGTTTTGTTGAATTTATTGATATTTCATATATTGGAGTAAGAGTTTCAAACAGGGATTTTTCAATTGGCGTACGAAACACGACTATAGAAACTGATTACGAATACAAAGTAAACTATATATTTTGGTGTTAGTTATGTGCGCATGTATTAATAAGAAGTAAGACATTAGGTTTATTTGTTAATCTATGTCATAATGTGGATAATGTTCAGTAAAAAATACATGTGGTTTTATGAACTTCCCTATAATTAATTTCACATTTATCTTTGCTAGTAGTTTTTTTTAGATGAAAGGATTAAATCATATTTCATTTCTGTATTTCTAACGACAAACAATCCGATTATTAAATGGAATCTATTATGAAAAATAAATTGAATAATTTGATCGTAAATGATGAATAACAATTTTTATGAACTGGATATCATAAGGATATAGATGTTATACATCCTTTAGTGAGAACCTTACATAATTCAAAAATAATATCATCTTACATTTCTCATCAAAAGAAAAACAAAACAAGCCTATCTTATCAAATTCAGAATTAATAAAAGATATATCGAAAGATACTCAAGATTATGTTAATAGAATTTCTAACATATATTATGAGAAATATAGACTAATAATACAATAATATATATTTTTAAATAATTTATTAGGTAATGACTTTCAAAAAAGCATCGAATGGCCATTTTGTCCTAATATGGGACTAAGCAGAGCACATTCACAATCCTGCTTGCGTGATTCCAAACTAGGATCTTCGGTCTCGCGCGTGAGCGATTAACCTCAAGACCACTGAGCAGGAATCCAACGGTGTTAATGTTTAACTTCAAATAGTTTTGATATTGATATGCAAAGAGTTGAGGTTTGTCCATGATTTAACAACCTCAACTAATAAGTATTGATAAAATAATCTCTAAAATTGTTCAGTAGGAAAAAACATCTGCTGCTTATAGTACTTAAATCTAATAACACAAGCACATGTAATCATTCATATAGCTATCACATTGAATTAACGAAAGGATTTACTTTTTAACTTCTTTACTTCAGAATAAAGAATACTAACCTTTATACGAATAGATTCGAATGTTTCTTACTTCATAGTTAAGACATGAATCACATTCCTGACTAAATAGAGTTACAAGCATCATCCATAATGTTGTGAGCGTTTTTGATTCATTAACACTATTTATTATATTTCATCCAGAATTTAATTTTTTTTCAGAATACGTATACAGCTGTTGATTTATCAAGTATCACAGTGATAGATATACCAAATGTTGTAGAGAATTATAGTTTAACATTGCGTTTTGCTGTTGGTTTATGGAGTAATAATTCAATAGTAGATGGAATGCAGTTTATTTGTAACTGTAAAGTTTCTGACGGTATTTCAGTGGTAACCAGTACAACTACAATCACATCACGTAAATTATGTACAGTTTTTCAACCAGAATTAAACATGTTATCTAATTTTCCATACATTGTACCGGGAGATATATTACTGTTTCAAGCAGAAGCATATTTTACATTTGAAACCGGAAATTATACGGTAAATTCTGTTTCAAATTCCGTCTTTATTTGGTTAAGAAATCCTTATATTAAAGCGTAAAGATAATAGTTGAATACTTTAAAAAGTAGATGCTTAGAGTGGGAACATTGATTCTTGTTAATTATTCTACAGTGTGACGTAAATTCTAGTTTAAAAATATTTGTCTTTCATATTCTTAGCTTTTCAAAACCATATCTCGAATCATGGAGAAACCAGTTGTAAATAGACTGTCTTGAATTTGTTTTTTGTAGTAGACATATATTTTTCGTGAAATAAATTTTTTTGTCTATATAGGGTTGTGATACCGCATGCAATGGATGAAGAGTTGCGCACGATCATGAATTGATTGAAGCTAGACATTAACACCGATGGATTCCGGTTCAGCGGTGTGCAGGTTAAGCCTTCGTGAGAGACTGAAGGTCCTGAGTTCAGTGGTGCGTGTGAGATCGTGGATTCGCACTGTTGTGGAGTCCCATACTAAGACGAAACGGCCGTACAATGACTTTAGGCTTTCACTGGTGGTCTAACATTGATTAGTTGATAATCTCAATAAAAAAACCTTGAATATTCATACGTACGGCTTAAAAGTTGTTTTTTGATTACTTTGTGTTATGCATTAATTAGTGATTTCATATTTTAAATGTCATCATTACTGTATTTCTAGGAATAGGCAACAATATTAGATGTATAGGTAGTGTGAAAGACCAGAATTGTTCAGTTTCCCTTTTTTATAACTCGTTATTTGATTGACCAAACAGTTAGAACATTAAGAGTGTCATATAAATACAGTCTGAACAGATAATGTGTGATATAATATAAAACACCAAAAATCATTTCCCAAGAAAATTATAGATTTAGCGTTAAGTTTACGAATGCATTGTTATATATTTAGTAACAACCGATAATTAGCTAATGAGTAAGTGAAATAATGGTTATTAACTTGATTTCAATTCGTTTGTGCAAAATTAATGGTCATAAGATAAAAGTAATAAAAATTCAGGATATGTTGAAGTAAAAGCAGATTAATGACTCGTAATGTATTCTCATTTCTGTCAAATAAAGAACTAAAGGATTAGAAATAAAACCGAAAAATTTACATTCATAAACATATATATGCTATCTGTTAGGAAATCGTCTATCAATATAGATGACATATAATTATGCATTTCTGCGATTTATTCTATAGAGTGATCTAACTTATTTAATACATTGTGACTAATAACTGGTCCCTCTAAATTATCATCTATCCATATCTGTAGTTTGATGGTATGTCAGTTAAAACTGCTGGTTGTCGTGCATCTCGGTGTTGTATAAATCATATATTGTTCAAAAGATTTGTTAACTAACATAACTTACTTATAACACACGTCAATATCTCTTTGAAATGTTTAACAACAAAGTCTTACATACGGATGTGAAGTAATATAAGGTAACAGTTTTTCGGTTAGTTTTGGAAACATACCTTATTAACATGTCTCAACCGACACATATCTAATTTCAGGATTTAATGTGGATGAACTATACGAAAACAGTTCTTGTTCATCACAACTTTGCTATGAGTAGATGAATTCTAATAAATACAGAAGTTACAGAACATTTAAGATAAGAAAATACTCTTATTTATTTATAAGCACTGAGAAAAATGTGTATGGTGTTTCAAAGTCATAGCCAGTAGAATATTAAATATTATAAATAACAGTCATAAATGATAGCTAAATAATAGTTATCACTATGAGTAAAACAAGAAAAGGAAAGAAACGTATTCTATATAAGGCGGTATATTAATGAAGTAATAGATCAAAGAAACATTACTTTCAGCGATGAGGTTACCAAAAATATTACGGGTTCATGATTGACAGTGTAAAGTGTTGCTTATTTGCAAACGAAACGATATTGATTTTGTAACTTATTTGTAATAAAAACACCATTTATAAAGATATCACATAGTGACATAAATAACATAAACATCAAGAAATATTTAGTATTTCTATGTTGTCATGAATTTCCTAGGAAATATTCTTATCTAGAAAATAATTAATACACTGTATTGAAACCAAAAGTGAGGACACGTTCTAAGTACTTCAGTAATAAGAAAGACACTCCGAATTCTCGCAGAACCTTGTCATATATCTATTAATAAAAATTGAGTTGACTACTCACTTTGAATATTTACAGAAAAACATGTTCCCGAATAGTTTATAGATACATTCACTTTAAATTAATATCAGAATTTAGTAATCTAAGACGGTAATAGTATAAACAGAGAATAAAAAGTTACATTCGGTTTCATTCACTAATATTTCATCTGTTTTACAGTTCACAGTATATATAATCGGTTCCTCATCTACTATTAGCAACTTTGAAGTAATTCTAGGTAATGGGATGAACTATCCAGAAGGATCTGAAGTTAGGCAATCCGAAGATGAGCTGACACTTACAAAGCAAATTGATGTACAAATGAAAGGACTTAAAAATAAAAGTAATACGTTTTAAAAGTTTAATAGATTGAAATTTAAAATGAGTTATAAGATATTTATAATTTTTTTTGCTTTTATTTAAAGTGTGTTTTGTTACCATTAAAATGTGGCAATTTTTCCTTGTATTATTCAATATTTATTACATACGAGTTTATTTACATGAAATTCCAGATAATGAACTATCATAAATAATAAATCATATTACATACAAAACCAAGGTATTTACGCTATAACTTACTTACTTACTTACGCCTGTTACTCCTCGTGAAGGAGCATAGGCCACTCACGAGCATTCTCCATCCAACCCTGTCCTGGGCAATCCTTTCCAGCTCCGTCCAGTTGTAATTCATCCTTTTCATATCTGCTTCTATTATCCGAAGCAATGTGTTCTTTGGCCTTCCTCTTTTTCGCTTCCCTTCAGGATTCCAAGTTAGGGCTTGCCTCGTGATGCAGTTTGACGATTTGCGTAATGTATGTCCTATCCATTTCCATCGTCTTTTCCTAATTTCTTCTTCAGCTGGAAGTTGGTTTGTTCTCTCCCACAGAAGGCTATTGCTGATGGTATCCGGCCAGTGGATGTTGAGTATCTTGCGTAGGCAGCTATTTATAAATACTTGTACTTTCTTGATGGTGGTTGTTGTAGTTCTCCAAGTTTCAGCTCCATACAGTAGAACTGCCTTGACGTTCGTATTGAAGATTCTCACTTTGATATTGGTTGAAAGTTGTTTTGAGTTCCATATGTTCTTTAATTGTAGGAATGCGACCCTTGCTTTGCCGATCCTCGCCTTTACGTCTGCATCTGAACCTCCTTGTTCATCGATGATGCTTCCTAGGTATGTGAAGGACTCTACATCATCCAGAGTTTCGCCATCAAGAGTGATTGGATTGCTGTTTTCCGCTTTGAATTTGAGGACCTTGGTTTTCCCTTTGTGTATGCTGAGGCCTACTGATGCAGAGACTGCTGCTACACTGGCTGTCTTCATCTGCATCTGTTCGTGTGTACGTGATAGGAGGGCTAGGTCGTCTGCGAAGTCCAAATCGTCTAATTGATTCTGAGCTGTCCATTGTATGCCGTGTTTTCCTTCAGATATTGAGGTCTTCATAATCCAGTCGACCACCAGAAGAAAGAGGAAGGGAGAGAGTAAACAGCCTTGTCTGACTCCAGTCCTTACTTGGAATGCATCTGTCAGCTGTCCTCCATGCACTACTTTGCACTGTATTTACGCTATAAGTTTATAATTAATTAGTAGTAATATGTAAATTGAAAAAGATATGGCAGCATCAATGAGTTAAATGAAAGCTTGCAATTAGAAAAATATCAACTGTTTAGCCACAACATTATATAAATATGTATATGCTAAATCACTTGTGAATAACTTCCAGAATTCATTATATCTATATGTATTAGTTCATTTATTTCAAAACACAAATCATAGTAAAGGGTAGTTAGTTATTTTAAAATCAATAATGTTTTTAGATTGTGAACTTTCTAATGTGAATTTCAAAAATCATATTCTAATGTTAATGATACAATGAAGTTGTATATTGAAACCTACTTGGTTATCCTTAATAAAATGACGAAAATCATATTCACCATCGAAGATGACTGGAAAACATTTCATACATATTTAAAAAAATTATATTTATATTTTATTAAGAGACATTTAAATATGATACAAAAATTACATGATTCTGATAGCTTACCACTTAACCTAGTGATTAATTTATCAAATAACTAATAATTTCCTCTGAATATTTTAGTAAACATAACCAAAGCGTTAAGAACATAAAAAAATTAATTCTAACAGGAGCTCAGAAATACTCTATTTGTATTGATAATAACACTTACTAGATTAATTTCCTGTGGGTATTCTTAGCTTTAAGTAACAGTGAAAAAAGTGGATAATCCGATATTTTATATTAACTTACGTTATTTGATACAAACATTCTAAATAATAAAACATTTGTAATGTTTTTCTCAAAAGATTATTAATTTAAGTTGATAATATTCCTTAACATTATACAAATAGCCATATAATTTATTTTATAAAAATTTCAGTCAGAAGACTCCTTTTTGTAGATAGTTCAGCATAACTTATTGATACGAAATATATGATTGATATGTGTTATAGGAAACTACTTACGGTTGTCTAGCAAATAAAAAAATGAAATGTTTCAAACGTTTTGACATTTCCTTCTGAGTTTCAGACTAGGTAGTTAACACTCGTGAATCTAAAATAGAGTGTCTTGAATATAAGGTACATCATCGTATTTAATCATTTACACAAATGTTGTTGATGATTCCTAAAAAGTAAGTAGCTTAGGTAAAGAATTGCACGTCGAACGCTAATAAACAGGCAAATATTCGAAAAAAAAAGTACAATCACCAATCAATGAATAGGCTTTAGTATTTCTAAACGTCCTAACAATTTCTACGGATATGAAAATCACTTCAGAGGATTTCTGATTGACTGAGTTTATTTTCACGATACATCAATTTCGCTGACTATGAGAAATCGTTTGACAGTATGGACAGGAAGAACTTATAGAAACTTCTCCGACACTATGGTGTACCTGAGAAGATCGCCAATATCATACAGAATTAATACAACGGACTCCAGTGCAAAGTGGTGCGTGGAGGACAGCTGATAGATGCAATCCGAGTAAAGACCGGAGTCAGACAAGGCTGTTTACTCTCTCCCTTCCTCCTTCTTCTGGCGGTTGACTAGTTTATTAAGACCTCGACATCTGAGGGAAAGCACAAAATACAATGGACAGTTCAGAATCAATTAGACGATTTGGACTTCACAGATGACCTAGCTCTTCTATCCCACATGCAAACCAATGCGTATGAAGACAACTAGTGTAACAGCAACCTCTGAATCAGTAGGACTCAACATACACAAAGAAAAAGGTGAGATCCTCAAATGCAACACGGAGAACACCAACCCAAACACTCTTGATGGAAAACCTCTGGAAGATGTGAAATCTTTCCCGTACCTGGAAAGCATCATCGATGAAAAACAATGAGCGGCTGCAGATGTAGGGGCGAGGATTTTTAAAGCAAGGACAGCATTCTTACAGCTGAAGAGCATATGTAACTCAACTGTCAAACAACATCAAATTGAGAGTCTTCAATACGAACACGAAGACAGTGCTATTGTACAGAGCTAAAACTTGGAGAACTACTACAACCATCATCAAGAAGGTACAAGTATTTATAAACAATTGTATACGCAAGATCCGTTGCCGGATACCATCAGCAGCAGCCTTCTATGGGAGAGGACAAACTAGGTTCCCGCTGAAGAGGCGTAGTGTGGTGTGTGCTACTTATATTGACATAAGTAGTATATGATGTAAGTCAGGAACAGAATGTCTGATAGCAGAAAGACAAGAGAATCGGACAGTAAAGAATGGAAACAATGCAATTTGTATGAAAATACAAGAACAATGAAGTCTGGGCCATTTCGGGACAATTGATGGTCATTTTGCAAATTGAGTATTTACTATATGGTTGTTAGATTTTATTAACATGTTCTGTAATCTTGTGTCCCACACTACGTTGGGAATCGAGACAGACATGAAAAGGATGAATAGCAACTGGAAAGTATTGTCCAGGATAAAGATCAGTGGAGAGTGCTGGTGGGTAGCCTATGCTCCTCCGCGAGAAGTAACAAGCGTGATTAAGCATGTAGGCATATTACGAGCTATATTATATCGTTTATAACTAGCTCAATAGGTGAAGAAGCATTTTAAAGGAAATAATCACCAAGCATCAAAAAGAAGGTAAATTTTCTCTACAAATGTTTTCAAATACTTAATTTTCATATTTAAAATTATTTTTTAACATAAATGTACTCAACTGTATTACGGAAACATTACAGTTCATAAAAAATCTGTTTGTTTTTTTCATTTTAGATGCTAGAGCGACATATCTGACTAAATCAAACCGCTCAGTGAAATTAAACGCATATATACAAGCTGTAACATACCCATCAACGAGAGCAATAGTTGGATTTCGATTCCGTTATTCTCAAGCTGATGTAATTATTCGTGAGCTTCAAATACCTATTATAGCTAATTATAGAGACTTTATAAATGTAAGCGTGTTATGAATGTATTTAATTAATTGGTAGATATGTACAGTTATTGAGATGGTGGATAGGATTTGTAGCTCAGGTGGACGATTTTGATGGAGTTATTCTCTAAGCGTTTCTGTGAGATATCAAGTCATATGTTGAACATTAGATACATGATGAACATAAGCAGAGAAATCAAGTTCATTCTTTAAATTAACTGTATCTTGTTATACTAGTTTCAGTTGAAAGCTGGATAATCAACAGAATTAGGAATGAAAAGCGACCAAAATAGAAAATGGAAATATAAATTATCGGGATTTTACAGGAGCATTTATACTAATTTAACGAATGTAGTAATCTGCTAGAAATATGACACATCAAAAGGAAGCTGTGTAGTGATCTTTAGGATCTATGTCTAAGAGGACCAGTTTATACAGACATTTATCTTGGTTGGTGTTCCAAATTTCGGCCAAAACATTTTTTTCATCATGGAGTAAACATTTTTTAGCCTAAATGCTTAGAAAATCATTTAAAAACAAAGCAGACAATATTAAATATAGTGTTAACGGAAACTACAGTCAATAACTTCAACACGGATTTCATGAATATCCTATCAACTGCCACAGTTTACAAGTCTTACACTGAAGAGGAATAACATTTCCTGTTCTGATAGCTATGTAAAAGCGAATTATGATGTGCAAAATGGTGAAATTATGATATTTAAACTTTTCTTAGTGCTATGCTAACTCATTCAACAACTGGCGTACAGTGAGGAGCATTATGTTTAGATATAAAATTTACAGGACCCAACGATGTCAAGCTAACTCATTTCTAGAGTAGCACTAGTCTGTTAGCTTAATATTACAAAAATAATGATTATCAGAATTTTTCGCCAATGTATTCGTATGCGTACATTTTCTTTACTAAAAAACCAATTAGTCGTTAGCAAATCATTTATTGGTAAAATTTGATTAGTTCAGTTCAGGGGATTTCAATCACTTTTTATTAGATTTTAAATCATAGTGATTTTCATCTCTTAAGACCACATATATAGAATAATGCCATTAAAGTTTGTCATAGGTAATTAGGTATATTAGTTGTAAGGCACATTGGCTTAACTAAAAAGTTTTTCCTTACCTGTGGACGTTTTCAGAGTACAACAAATTGTAAAACACATTCAAAACCTTTAGTCACATCTACAATTTAATTTATAGAAAATGCTTTGAGTAACATGTTTTTTCAGTAATGTTCCGTTCAATGTAAACACAATTTAATAACCGATATAGATTCAGATACACTTCTGTGGGTACTCCTACTATAGCACTTTAGTCATTTTCATTACAATGATGTTTCGGTTGTTCGTTCTCTATTTTAAGAACCATCGATATCTTGATATCATTAAGGAACTTTCACGTCGAATAAGAACAACACAAACAAGTATTGCCATTAAATTTACTTCGAGTGCCGTGATTTAGTACACAACTGTATTTTCATCCCATCCCAACAAACACCCTTTCAATAGACGTTTTGGGAAATTGGTTGGATTGGAGTCGGTGCTTAAAATATATCGCAAATTATTTTCTTTATTCGACTGATATTGATATGACGGTCCTAGAGGAACTAGATGACTTCTCAGTTCATTATAATTCTTTGAATAATATAAATTCAAACAGATAAATTTGCGTGATAGATTTGACTCAGAAAATATTTTTTTGCCCCATAAATAAGAAATGCTGCGGATAAATTTGCTTGCCAATCGAAGTGTCTTCGAAGTCCCTTACGCTTAATACAACGAAACCAGGAGACGTTATGGGCCTGTTTCCTAATACACGAATTATTCTCATATGCTAAAGAACCACATTCATAACTGTGATACTGTTTCCCATAATATGTAGTCCTGTATACATATACCGCTTTGAAGAAGATAAATACTGTTCACATATTTCTGAATCTTTGAAGTAAACAACCCTAAAAACTCATTAACTTATCTCCTTCTATGAAGGTAATACCTGGCTATCCTTCGTGTTTTCCACCGAATAAGCTTTACATGTATTTATTGATTCTGATGTAAATGAAAATCACTTATCGTGGAATGAAATTAGGTTATTCTGTCGAATTCCTCACGTTCGTTCTTTATTTCAACCAGCTAGCGAAATTTTATGGGGAACAGTGTACTTATGAATTAGGTTTCAGAAATCGTGATCATGTTCGAACTAAAATTTAAATCCATGATTACACAATAACCACAGTTCAAGGTTAAGAAAAATACAAATCTTCCACAAATTACTGACTTTTTATACCTATCCTAAAATAACAATGACCAACCATATCATTCTTAAACTTATTGACTCTGTCAGAATTGAGAAAAGGAAAAATATAATGATAGGGTAAGTGTAAATATTGAAACTATTATTATTCAAGTTAGTGTATGATGAATTCAAATAAATTTTCTCCTACCTGAAAAACTAACTACACTTTGGCTAATCAGAACAGTGACATGAGCGACAAAATCTTTCTAAAACCACACATAAATCTGTAAATAAGTGTTTACGAATTCTAATCTAATTAAAAGCATTCATTTACTCATAAAGTCAATTTTAATTGAATTTGTCGTTGTAATTAATGTAACCACTCTCAAGCCCATTGCTAAAGTATTATCCCACAGTAAATTTCATTGTGTGGTAAAAAGTGTACCAAAAGTGTGTGCTCTGTGTAAAAATCAGGTTTATGACAGTGTTATAACCAGTTACTTCGATAAAATTATTAAAAAATGAATCTTAATCCAATAATTCTACTCTTCGATTCATTATTATGTCCCTAGGTTTCAAAACCTACTTTCAACTTTTCAGGAATTTCAAATCCAGCAAAAGTTGAAACATTCGCTGAAGTTTTTTTCAGTCTTAGACTTCCTCCTTCATCAAAACAGATTTATGCTGTAGAAGTAGGCTTTGATAACGTTTCTTTGGGTGAATTCTGTTATTCTACCATCACAGAAGTTGGAAAAGGGATCACAAACAGAATAACAGGGGTAAGTTACTAACATTAAAATATTTTACAGAGTAAACTATTTATAGGAGAAATATTCTGTACTCCAAGTCCAGATTTCGATTAAGTGATATTATTTGGTCACTAGTCTAAAATACAGCGACGAAAATATACTTCGTGATGAGATAATGACAGTAGATTTATGGTCTTAGATGACGATTGAACTGAAATATTTCGCGAATTCAGAATAACACCAGTTTTAATGTTTAAATTTGGAACATAACCTTAAGAATAATTTACAACTTTTCAGTATGATTTCTATAACAATCATAAGTAAAAATATTAGTGATTCATGTTATTCGAGAAATCAGGAAACGATTGACATCTTAATTACCACTGTGGACAAGAGAAAATGAGATAAATTTATTAACAAACTTAGTGACCGGTACCGACCTTTTGGATATTTTAAAGAGAGCAAGAACGAAGATTGGCGCAGAATAATATGAATTCGTTTTATTTTGTTAGGTTCTCATCAGCTGCTTACAACCTAAATTGTTTGAAATTCAACATTATTACGGATATTGGCATATTTATACATAAGAAGGTGATTAAAGATGAATAAATGTATCATGGTGTAGCGAAGATTCCGATAGAGTTAATTAGGTCATAAAATTTTGTCTCGAATAAATAGAGTTTGAGAGGGAAAGTTCCGGAACATTGAAATAGTGATTAGAACTCATGAAAATAGATTAATGGTAATGAAGAAAATGTGAATTGAAATCAGTCAGTTATGTATGATGTAATTTAATTTTGGATATTCTTAGTTTAATCGTAAATGTTCATTTTCTTATTTATCAGGATGTTTGATATTTATGGTGACTAGTAAATGAAATAAATTTCATTTCCATAATCTTTGTTTAGGATACAAAAGTTCTTCTCAACTTTCACTATGCACTGGGTTATATGTTGTTTAAATGTTTATATCCACGTTAATGATTTTTTTTAAATCTGATAGATGAGATTGTATACGGAATATATGACTCAAAAGCTAACAATGCTTCGAAGAATGGCGGTAATAAATCTTGGAGTATTGGAAAATCCAGCAACAAATAATACAGAGTATTATGTGATTTTCAAAATAATTGTAAGACCATCCATAGATAAAGCTTTTCCAACAATCAGTGAAACTCAAATTAATGCACGAGTTTTTATTACGGGTACACCTCAACAACAACAACAATCAATTGCATTTTCTGTTGTCGATGAGCCAATTTTGCCGATTACAGTAAGATTTACAATTAACTTAAGCTGTGGGTTAATTTTCAATCTCTATATTCAAAAAATTTAATTTCATAAATAAATTACATAACAGACGTTGAATTACAAGTTTCTTCTGGACAGAACTTTTTAAAGCATATTTACTTAGAAAAATGAAAAACAATGTAGTTTGTCAGGAATGAGTATGTACATCAAAGTGTTTGGTAAACATCATATCTGATCTGTCCACTTGAAACTATTCTAATTTCAGGAAGTGAAATTAACATTCTCATTAGTGTTCTATGAAAAACCTAATGTATAGATCTGCCATAGGTATTGTAAGTAATCGCTTTAGAAATAAAAGCCCATTATCTTATTATATACCATTTTAAGTGATTTTCCGTCATATTAACGGATTCAAAATTATTTCTTTTATTATTTTTTAAGTGTACGCTTAGTTAAACATCATCGACAGTAATTATATTTCGGTTTGAAGTATTAAAATCAATGGAATGAATGTTCACGCTGTATTTATACTACATAAGTACTAAACAATACACATAATTTGTGAAGAATTGAGAGTATTTATAATATGAGCTTCAAATCCACTTTATGTGTGGGATTAAACTCAAAGCTATTATTAATGGGGTTTGTTAAGTTTTTTCATTTAGATCATGAATCCATCAATGTTAGACTACCAATGAAAACCTGGAAGCACTGGAAGGCTAATCTATGTCGGGTGTGAGGCAGTTACCCACCGGAGACAATCGAAATGGCCGCAAAATTTCGTTTATTGGTTGAAGTTAGATATTAACACCGTTGGACGCCGGCTCAATGGTCTAGAGGATAAGTATTCGTGCGTAAAATCGAAGGTCCTGTGTTCGGATCCTGTGTGCGTGATCACGGATACGAACTGCTGAAACCCATACAGTGACGAAATGGTTTTCCAGCGCTTTCGGGTTATCAGTGGTGGTCTAAAATTGGTCAATCCACGATCTCAATTAAAGCTATTACTGTTGAACTAATTTTGAAAAGTCGTCAGTCTGATTCATTGCTGATGTGATTGCAGTGTCTTTAAAGTTTCCACTATGAGAACTTGGACTGTATTTTGAGAACATAAACATATCTTCAACTTTATGTTCTTAGTAAAAAAATACTGTTAAGGCCAAAATATTATGCAGCTTATTTTACGTGTGTAGACAGGAAAACTTCACAAAATGCGACATTTTTCATTTCCAATTTGTCTTTTTCTAAAGTACCACAAGATGGTTAGATTTTTTCCAGCATATTTTTGTTACGTCCCACAGTCAAGCAATACGCGTCGACGACCGTAAGCAACCAATGCACATCAAGGACTTGAGAGAATGATACTTTATGCCTGACGGTTAGCCCAATACTAACTAGCTCCAAACGAAAAGGAAGAACACAAGATCAATCTTCACCAGTCCAAGATCATTATTATATTTCGGACGTGTATTTATTTGTAGGCTATGCCAAACCACACAGCAGACCAATTCGGGTAACTGTATTAACACGGAACAACAGCATTATTGATGAGAAAATGGAATGCTTGGTGCAAAAATAATTGGTTCTAGTTTATGAATGGAAGATGCTATAGCAACAAATTACACTTCAAATGAAAGCTTAGAACTTGAGTAACAAGAAAATAATAAAATCAAAATACAATCAATATATAAATAAAACCGTCTATAAATAGTTTTGAAAGTTTTTACCTCATAGTTAAATCATCTTTAGCAAGTACTTTAAAGGTTTCAAGCATGGCTTTAGAGAGAGTATACCTAAAGGATGGTAAAGCTCATAGTCTTGAAAATATTAATGTTTAAGTATAGTGAGAAAAAGAATTGGGATAAAAAGTCAAAAACCCATTTATTTCCGTATCTTCAGATACATTATTTATTCTGACAAAATATATTGGTTAAAAAGAAATCAACAGAATCCGCAGAAATAAAATAACCAAAATGACAGAAAATATAGCTAATAGTTTACTAGAGAATAATTGTTTTAATTTCCCTGAAACATGACAAGTTTGTATCACCCTACTTTGTCTTCTGCTTTCCCTCTATTCATTCGAGACAAACCCGGCCCAATATATAAAATCAGTTGAGTAATCAGATTTAATATACATAGAATCACTGGGATTGAACCCATATATTTAAAGGAACCAGAGGTATGATGTCTTAGTTGACTAGTAATCATTTTGTAATAATAAATTAAACATGATTTGATATAACTATTATCTATAAAACCATAAGTAGCTCAAAATGAAATGAAACATTGTGCGAATTCTACTACCATTTATCGATATTAACTAAACCTTAGTACGTTGAATGCAAGTGGGAAAAAAGGAAAGTTCACAGAAAGTGATTTTTCAGTCGTAAACGAAGGAATCTAAGATATAGAAAATTTATGTACTTTTACAGGTTTCTTATTACATAAGCGTCAGATCAGATATTGAGTTCATATTACCAAATTTAACTTACCAATAGTTAATATAACTCCCTATTCATGAGAAATAAGCTTCTCAGTAGTTTTCAGGTCAGAAAATACCATAATTAGGAAGAATCAAATGGGATTTAGGTATTTGATTCAAATCTTCACAACCATCTAGGCCATATTCCTTTTTTTGTTTCCATGATTAATTTAGACCTTCAGTGAAAGCAATTGAAATGAACAAGTATCTACGAAACACCTAATTAGTCACTATTAACGGCTCCATAAGTAACCAGCCTCAGGATGGAAATCTAGATTTTTCAGTGAGGCACTTAATTTTCTGGGTAACTAGGTTAGAGAAAATCATATTTCCACAACCCACACATATCAGGATAAATGAAAAAGTTTCTAAGGTGCTATTTGAAAGCATTTCGAGTTTAAAGATCATTTTATTGAAGGGAAATCTCTTCAATCTGTTGACTATTAATTTACTTTAAGTTTGATTATGCATACCACTCCCAACTACGAACTTTTCTGCTGAACATTTAAATTATCATCTCATTTGAGCTTTTATACTAATCACTTCCCTAAAAAGTTTACTGAAATATAAGTCAAGGCAAACAACATCTGTCTCACTATTCAGTTATCCTATTGTAGAAAAAAAGTTAGATGTCTTAGAAAACGATCATAAATTTTTATCATACGAATAACTATTTATTTTTCTTCCAGGCAAATAATTCACCCAACGTGAACCTTTACAAAACCGAACCTGCTCTAAGTGAACCTATGGACACATATAACGGAATTCTATTTGCTGAAATTTCTTGGGTTGAACAAGTGATCTATAGTCCCGTCCAGATTTTACTTAGCATTGTAGGTTCCGGAACAACATTAACTGAAATAAAATTTATTTCGGTTGGAAGGTCACTGATCACTGTAATCCCCAGAGCTTCAAATATGTCAACTACAAAGCAAGTTTTACGTATTGTTCTTGTGTTAACATAGAAAATCTGTATAACATTTAACAAATAAGAAAACCATTTCGTCAAGTATTCGTAGGAAATAAAGTTGATGAAACACTAAGTTATCGTATTCCATGCTATTAATAAATGGTGTACTGTTTGTGGATTATTTCAATGTTTTCCTGCGTGTATTACACTGTGAAGGAAATAGATGTAAGTACCAATACAATAATATTATTAATCAACCAGTTCATATAAAGATCGTGTCTTACCTAAAGATCGCTCAGCTAATGACTGTATATCTTTTATAAATATTAAATACTATCGCCAAAATTTCAGCAGTTTTATTTGAATACGCGGACGTCATACATTTACATTTCAGTATTTTAACTCTCAAGTGAGAAAGTGGTAAAAATGTCAAAATCAATCCCTTGGAGAGTCTGATATAGAGTAGGTAATACATCAAAAAGAAGTCTCGGTTATTTTGCTACAAGTCTAAAGTCAAGTTGATGGCTATCAACTAAATAATAGTTTTTTTAGTTTACAAAATATTTTTTCAACATATTAACCGACTGATATTTGACATGAAGCAAAGATTTGATGAAGTCATTTTTTAAGAGGACGATATATGGTAAGAAGAATAAATTAGACTAAGCAAAAGGATTTATCTTATAATCGAATTTATTTTAAAGGAGTACTATAATGAGTTAGTTCTTATTTACTGCTGAGGTTTATGGACTGGATTCTGTTTTCACAATTAACTGAAAACGGTATGTTAATGTTGGTTCAATTTCATTCATATAAATTTCCGAAAATAATTTCTACGGGATTATCTGCCGTATTCTAGAATGATATTACGATGAAATGCAAACTCGACTAACTCATTATATCATACAATCGTAAATTTACTACTGAAAGTATATAAAATGGAGTGATTTCTAGTATTAAAATACACTTATTAAGTTATTATATCTTCAACATGTAATTGAACCGAAATTAAATTGTAATGACCAAATGGTTGCCTTGGATATTTAATGTTTATTAACAGCTTATTGATAATATGGTGAAAATTTCCAGTTTATTCTATCACTGTTAATTTCTGAAAGTTTTCGTGCTCTTATGAACAGCATTAGTAAAATTGTTATAATAAAGTTCGATAATCTTCTGCATATAAAGTAATGAATAAACTTTTTAGATCAGCTTTATTTTAACAACTCATTCTGAATTTTTGAACTTCTTTTTTATGAGAGTTTTCATTATTAGATATTCCCTGAGACTATATTTTGTTGAATTATGTTAACAAATAAATGACGTTTGCTTTCTATGAAATATTACTTTAATATAATTTGAAGCACTCTTTAAGATTTATAACACTTAACATTGAATACTTGGTGAAACATTATGAACAGTCCTACAATGTATGTTCTTTCAACGGATGCCATGTTCTTCAGCTAACAAGAACTCTTATCTTTGACCAAAGCAGTTACATAGAAAGCTCAGACTAATACTTATGAACTCTAGATTGTCTGTAGATTATAGGAAACACGTGTGTGTATTTCACTTTTGATAAACTGGTTATAATATTCCAACTAGGTATGTGTCCTTAAGGAGTCATGATCTACCTGGACTTGCCATGCAGGTGAAAGATGTATGCGTTTATATACGTTGAATATCACGTCAATGTACTTATTTGTGAAGTTGAACTGAACTATTCTGATAACTTGATCACTGCCTTCAACTGATACATCAGTCTTTTCTTTACGTATTCATTATGAATGTGGAGCTGACCTAACGAAATTATTTTACAGTTACAGAAGCCACCCAACAGTTGGTTTGAAATTATTACAGAATGTTTATTCTAATGAAATATATATGAATTGCTACAATTAATTTTCATAAACATTACTAATTTATTATTTCCATTTTTCTTTAAAAGCAACACAGGTATAATCGAACTTCCCTCTGTATATGTTGTTCCCACTCCTTATAAATATGACAATATATTAATCATCAAGTGTTCGGTTAAAATCGTCGGTACAACAAAATTCAAAGTTATATTAGATGTTATAACTGGAGGATATACAGCAACTAGTCAGGTTAACTTTGCACCGATTGCTGCCATATCACCTCCTCAATTGGTAGGCTAGTCAAAAATATGCTTTGGTTTTACATTCGCTGTCAATTATTATGATTATTAGCTTTATTCAATATTATATTTTCGCTACAATAAAGAATTCTCAGCAAAAATTATTCCAACAACTTTTTGTTTCTTACTTCTTGGTAGATCCTGACGATAAATAATGAGTGATCGCCAAGTGGAAGTTAGCAGTCCAGTTAATCGACATCTAAATAGTGTACATTATTTTCGCTGCATATTGCCAGCAACCACAATATCTCTAATTAGGCCTTTTGTAACCTGTACACCGAAAGGTTGCGCACTTTTCAGAAACGAACCTGAAGGGGTTATGCTATTAATAGCCATAATGATGTATATAAACAAGAGAAAATTAGATAACTTGTTGAAATATCTAGATGGCAGGAACATGTAGCCCATATGTCCAAGCAGGCCGCCATTTCCTCTAACCGTTTAGTTACATGTTTTAGAGCATCAGCATTTTAAAGTAAAACGATAAATCACCATATGATGTGCCAAAAATTTAGTAGAAACACTACTTAGTCAAATTTGAAATTTCCAATCAAATTAAAAACAGTCCTAAATTAAAAGTATTTGAGAAAATCACATAATGTATGTCAACTGTGCATCATGTTGATAAATGTAGCGAATCCTCTAGAAAGATTTATAATGAGTATAAATTTATTGACTTCTATTTCAGACAAGTAGTCAATTACCTTACTGGGCAATTGACAGTTTGGCAACCTCTCGCAATAATAATAGTGTAGTACGAGGTGCATTTAATTTACTTTCATTCTCCATGATTATATGTTCAGGCGCAAGACAAACATATTCAGCTCAACTCTACGTTTTACAAATTACAAATATTGTAACTTTTATGAAGACAAAAACTATTGTTTTTGGTAGTTCCATTAGTAAGTCTGGAACCTCGTCCACTATTGCCAATGCTAATACTATAAACTTAAATATGGCTTCACAGTACTTTGATAGTGAGTAAATTACTATTAAAAACTTTTATATTTATTGGTAATTTTCTTCTGTTTTTATTTTATTTACTTTTCTTAAGTGACTGACATTAAAATAAAATATGAAAGAAATATTTTATCCCAAAAAAATTTCCTGTTTTAAGTACGTAGTAATTAATGTTTTCTTATTTCAAAGTAATAACTACTTACATCATCTGTAAATAATTTGTATCTAGTTACATTATCATAATTGATTGATCACTGGGTGGTGATCAATCTCATGTGTGTCAGGTCCTTCTTAGTGCAGATCGAATGCTATCGACCATGTTGCAATGTGGCCACCAGTCTAGGTGACTCGACACTGCGGGCACTATGTATTGAGATTAGATGCTGGTTGGAGGTAGTCGATAGGAAACCCTGGACCTGGCTTTCGTGCTACTTGGTACTCGTCAGCAAGGTGTACCTGTAATCTTGAGGGAACTAGTGCTCCCTGGCTGATTCGATCCCGTGTCACCCAGCTTCGCAGTCAGAGACGTTACTATTGAGCTATCCGGGCCGCGACTGACCTCCTGTAGGACTGAGATGTAATCACAATTGATTGATCACTGGGTGGTGATCAATGTCATGTGTATCAAGTCCTTATTTAGTAATCGGACACGATAAGCAATGATACAAGTATAAATCTAAGGTGATCTGTCTTTCTTAACTTAAAGCTGATGTTGTAAGATTTAAAAACACATTTGATTGTCGTATAATATAACAGAACTATGTAAAAAGCTGCATTGTAATTAATCGACAAATTGATTTACACTTCGTGATCAATTAAATTAGTTAATCGGATTTAGCAAAATCATATGAAAGTTGCCTACGATCCGTTGAATGGCTAAATTGCTTACTAAATTTCCTACTTGCTTTTGCTTGACTAATTACTTAACTTAAGCATATTACAAGATTTATCAAATTCCGGTCTTTAAGTTGACTAAATATAGTATCAAGTTAAAAAGCAAAGTGCACAGTACAGTGTGAATTTCCATCCAGCATTATATGCCGACTAATCTAAGGTTTTTCTCTAGATAGTCAACAAATATTCTACTAATTAAAAACAAAGATCATAGCCATACAATCTGAATGAGAAATTATATAAATTTTATTTTATTTGAAAATGAAGGAAATTTCATAGCCAGTATGAATTAGTACTTAGTGTATCAGTACAAATCATATCTTGCTCTTGAATAACGTGTTACTTCACTCGACAAATATGTAGTGACTAGTAACCTCATCATTATTTACATGATATTTATTACTAACTTACTCTCTATTTGATATTAGAGTAAGGGAAAATTTAATGTTGCGACAAATTGGATTATGAATCGTTTCTGAATGGTTCAGATTTGTTCATCTAATTCCAAATGATCTGGCTCGAATTTCCCTAATTATTACTTCTAGAAAACCTGTTGCAAGAAATAGAGTTCACATAAGCCACCACTTTTCTAACTGACATTAATGTACAAAAAAATCGAAAAATGCTCTAAACAACTTTTCTAAATATTCATTATTGAACTTTTTATTAAAATTAGAGAAGTTTCATTTTATCTTAGTACTAACTAAAACTAATTTATTATCACATGTGATTTTTAGGTAGTGAAAGTATCTCAAATTCAAAAAAGGAAAGATCAATATTCACTTTTCTTGTACCCTTAAATGTCAATTTACTGGCATCTTCAGTTGTTTCAGTGAGTGTTACAGTTCAATATGGAACACAATCAGCTCAAACGTTCGTCAGTTTACCTGTTATCCAGCCTGAAGTAAGTAATGTCGTTTCATTGAAACTATTTATTCATTTTTATCATGTGACATGTAATTTATTTTACTTTCAGATAGACAACCTCTTAGTAATTTGTGAACTGTTTCATTCTAAATAATCTTCTTAAAGCCCTACTCTTGGTAATAATCATGTACTTACTGGTAGCTAGCTTTGGGATGAACTCCTGAAGTTCTAGTAATAAGCTGCAACTGATATTATTCAAGCATTTCTTAAATATTCCATACTAAACACGTTTTGTTGCATAGTAGGGAAAGTTAATTATTGTTAGCTAAAATAAATGAGCATGATTAAATTATTAGACTAATACATATCTGTATTTAGTACCTATATCGTAATGAAGGCATTTTCTTTTGTTCTGCTGTCATAATCTTCTACCTTCTGAATAATCCAACCTGTAAGTGAATAGAGATATATGTTCGTCATTTGCACTGTATGCTCTCACTCAGTTAATCAAATACAAGTGATGTCCCAGCTTTATCACAATTTTATTTAAAAACCAAAGTGTAGTCAAACGATTGAAAATTCTATTGGTTATAAACAATGGAAAAATTCTATCACAACAAAAAACTGATCATTTTTGATGGATAAATAGAGACAGATATACTATCATAAACTGCATCATTTTTAAAAGTTCTTAAAACTCATCCAGTTGTACTGTTCAAGCTTTATTTTTACTCTCTGTTTTTATTTTTAAATGCAGTTGAGTATACCACAAACTTCTACCAGTTATCAGATAGATGCCATTAGCTACCAAGACAGACCATATGAACGTACTTCCCTTGTCGCACTTGGACAAACTGTTCGACTTTATAATAAAATTGGTCTTCCAAACACTATGTGTACAACATACTCATTTGAATTTACTATGTCATCCAATTTATGGCCAATTGATTTTCTTGATGCACAACTCGTGAGCTATAGTGATTTTATATGGTCCACTAGTACTATCAACCCTTTAATAACTAAGTAAGTAAAAATAACCACTCTATAAAATTATATATTTTCAGATAGGATTCCTTGGTATTTTGATTCATTTGTAGTCATCCATAGTCTACTTATTTGATTTTTACTGACAAACTGAATGTCTTAAATGCTTCACATTGGCCTTCGATCTAGATTGTGAATAAAAATCAGTCATAATTCATTGGATTATGCACATTATACAAAGCGTTTACGGTAGCTAGATTTAGTAAGCAAACAACATGTATACCTTTATTTAAATGATTTATATCAGATGGTAATACGACAGTCAAAATGTCAATAAACTATTTGAACGGTTGATTAACTGAATATTGGCTAAGCTTGTGATTTTCGATCGACAAATGTTTGATATCCAAGATTGAAACTGTCTTTTCTGTTATGCATTTTAAATAAAACTGATGCTTTACTTATAGGCAATGAGTAATCCACTGACGTGTTTTTCCATAATCATGTGGGGTGATTTTCAATCACATGTACATGTCATATAACAATCGACCAATGAGTTCTTAATATTTATTATATTATGGTTTCACTTTATTCACGATATTTTCTAATCAGAAGATGATATCCTTGACCAGTTAAAAGTTTAGAAACACTTTTTGTCTATACATTTTGACCCATAAGAAACAGCTTAAAGAAAATATTACTTTCGAAATGTTAAGATGAAATATGACATAAATAAACTACTTTCATGAAAAGTTTAAGTCCACTGAAATTTTCTATCAGTCTAACTTAGAGGCTGACGAAATATTAAATTAATTACTCATTATTTTTTCTTTAAACTTAAGTCAATGTTGATAGCCTATTCTTCTATCGACGTACAACATTTAAAATTAGTTTCATTTCAATAACAATGTTAAGTCAGTGATAAAATTTTCTATTTTATTATAAACTAGATTACTAGTGAACTCTTTCATCACAGATACATATACATAAACAACGGTTTTGTAATTTATAACGATAACAAATAACCACTGTTATAAACCAAAAGTTTATACTGAAAAATCATATAAACAATTTTGATTAGTTAAAAAAAGCAGTATAAACGGAGTAAAGTCAATCTGAAATGATTGTATGCACATCGTACTGAAGAATTTACAATTGACCTAAATAAAGTGAAAAATTATATATGAAAATTATATTTGAAATAATCTCAGCGATTGGAATTTAAATAATTCCAGTGTTTCATCCAGCTAACTTGTCGAGACTTCTTCGAGGTAATAATCAAAATCAAAATCACCAAAGAAATATAAGAATGATGACAATGAAATATAGGGATTTTAAAACTGTGTTTATCAGGTTTAAAGATGCTGTTCTGTATGTTCACGTATTATCTTCAAAATTCTGGATAAATCAATTCACTTTTAGGCTCCCTTTCCCTTATCATTCATCAAATAATCCAGTCAGGTAGTTTGGGATAATTAAGACAGTTTCGCCAGAAACTAACATCAACTAGAAAACTATTTTAACCGAGAGAAAGTAGGGCAGTTATTTTGCCATAATTTAAGTATATAATTTGCATTGCCGACTAAATGATCCGAATGAATACAGTTGGTGATGAGAACTATTTTCACTTCTGAAATTAATTGGAATGTAATGACTGTCATATTATTGAATTATTTATTTCAAGTTAGTTTCATGTTTTTGTGTTTTCTAGATTGGGTTCACCAACATACAACAAAATTACTATGGACTTGGGATCATTATGTGTTCCGGAAACATACGACAATCAGGTAAAATATGTAATGACTTTATGGATGTCTTCATTTGTATCCACTATACTACCATTTAAATAAAATTAGCTCCATGCAGGGGATGATAATTTGTAATCGTAACTTATGATCTCTTTTTTATTTCTTTAGGATAAGTAACTTCATTCAGCATCTGACCTAAGCAATACCGACTGATATCTTATAGATGATATTTTAACTGGTTCATTTCCTTTGCTGTTGCAAGCTAAAATATTTAAAGGCCGTTTTGGAGTAACAACCTTATTGATCCATACTTGTTTGAAGTAGGCATCTATTTACGCTGTATATTTTCTTACTCACCGCTTCATTAGTATAAAAGTCTTTTTAGTATATCTTTGACTATTGTTATTATTATAAAAGAAGTTACTTATTAATTAACATTCTAGCTTTCAGTGGTTGAAATATGCAGATATACACTTAACATTTCAGTTGTAATCAAATTCACCAAGAGATATACCTGTGACTGCAATTATAGCTTGAATTTATTTAACTGCCCAAATGAATTGAAACAATTACTTGGGCGGATAATTAATCAAATCGTTACCCTACGTTCTCTTATTGATCTGTCCAACCATTCAAACTTAACAAACAAAACAGATCCACTTTAAATACACTATAAATTTATTCAGTAGGTTAAATTGAAACATATCGCTTCTATCATGCGCATTTGTATTTGTAGAAGTCATCAAATAAAGCTACATACACATATTTTAAGCTGTCAGTGATAATGAAATTTGAAAAATTAGAGTGTAATAAAACGTATTAGTCATTACAGATGAACTCCGAGATTAAGAATCCCGTGTATAGATAATAACTGTCTAGCTTTATCATAAGTATTGTATAAAAATTCATATATAGTGCGTTTAATATGGGGTTAAAAACCTTACTGTTTGATCATATCTATATATCATGTCTAGTCTCAAACAAGTAATCCTGTCAGTAAAGATTTAGAATCAACGCTTGTTTTGACCATTATGTGCTAAATGATCAATTGTACTACTAAAAAGAATGTAAAGATAACAGTAATTTGTTTATAAAAATTACAGAAAATATGATATGATACTAATTACATTTTTCACTGCTATCTACATTAACTAACGCGTTAAACATGGTGACCATTATATATCCTCATAATTATTTTTAGTTATATGAAAATACTGTAAATAGAAAAATATCCTAAAGATTATAGTAGTTTGAGATGAATTTGTGAAATACTATTTACATTTATTTAGTATATTGCACTTTAAAAAATGGTAAAGATTTTATTGCACATTTTTGGAAAATGATTCCTTTAATTCTGTGAAGTATTTAAGAGACATATTTCCTTGATAAATTGAAAGAAACTCCGTAGCATAGTTTTTTTATGAAATTGAAAAATTCGGCAATAACATCTACACGTAGCCTCCTTAAAAAATCGAGTCCACAAGTACAATTTCAGTATTATTTGACTTCAGATAATTTATAGTTAATATTATCAACGATTGGAATTCATGTTCGATTCTCGGCCTTCTCAAGATCAGTTTAACATCAATTGCATGCAACGACTTTATAACATGTGATCAACAGCGGTCATTAGTTAAGATAATGATCTTTCCATAACTTTGAATCATAACAATAAGGATATCTGAATACTCGATCGTCATATCTAGTAGTACGATATGTGTATGATTCCCAGTTCTTTTGAGATACTGAATCACATCAGATTCCGTTCACTTGCCAGATAAATTATGCCGAAAATTCACACAAAATTAATTACTATATATATGCTCCATTGATTTATATATGTTAATTGTTAACTCCGTCGAACACATTTTCTACCTCTCATGAGGAATAAAAGAGACATATTACTATAATTGAAATCACAAGCCGATCAAAGTTAAAAAATCACTGAGTACCTCGAAGCACAGGACAGACGTCTAATGCTACCATAGGATTCCTCAACCAGAAATCAATTTCATAATCTTTGGTTTAGTGATCGAATGTCTAACCTCTAGACCATTGACTCAGTATCTGATAGTGTGTACAAGTCTAGCTTCAATCAATCTATTATTAGATCTGTACTTACGAAGTGACAAATAATGAGTGAACATTATGCAGATTTTATCACGAAATAATTATTGACAGAAATAATTTCACATAGCAATAGGAAAAATATTCAAATTTATTTAATTTTTTCACAGGTCCGAATTGACCTATTTTTTCGCCCAAGGAGTAATTTTTCAGCGAGTACTGTAAATGGAAATATAACTGTGTCTGTTAAAAGTTTGCTTACAGTGGGTACTCTATCTAGTCCATTGTCTCTGTCAACAGGCGTTTTTGTATTTAATAAAGATGCACTCATGAAAGAAAGTATGTATGTATTACCATCATTCAGTGAAGACAAGTATGTAAGTTTATCTTTTTGATCTACTAAGAAAGTAATGTGTGTCTATATATTTGCAGTGTGCAAATATCATTAAGTTTATCTGCAATGTTATAATTCAAATCAGAACAACACATATAAGCTAACAATTGTTTTCAATTAGATCGTCATCAGGCTCTAATATACATGAATATTTATACGAAAATTTTAAACCAATCAAGGCAATATGGGTCAATACTCACAATGAAATAGAATAAGTCTCTACACGTAATAGGTAAAAGTACAAGTTTATAGTAGGAAGACAGGTGAACTGATAATAGTAAGAATAATAAAATACAATAACAAAACTCTTATCAATAGTTAATCGTTGGAAATAGAAGGTCAAATAAACATGGGTAAATAGACTAGGAATAGTAATCACAAAACATTAAAATCATTAGGTAATAAGATGTGTGTAAATAATTAGATAGTGAAGAATACGATGAGGCGGAAAATTACAAACAAATAATGGATGTGGAAATAAGGTTAACGATAACACAAATAGAATTTTCGTATAAATATTCATGTATATTAGAGTAAAGCCTGATGACGATCTAATTGAAAACAATTGTTCGCTTATATGTGTTGTTCTAATTTTCACAATGTGAATCTTTAATATAATTCAAATCATCACAGTAAAAAAGAGTAATGAATTGTAATAATCTGCTATTTAAGCTGATTTTACTAATTAGACACAATGACTGAATTTTTTCTGGTGAACCACACTACTTCTATGAATCTTATAACCGATAATCAAGAGAATAACCTCTTGTTAGGTATTCACTCTTAAGTTAGCAATAAGAATAATCTTTTCAAAAAAACCAGTTGAATCTTAAAATTTGATCTGATTTCAGAAACCTTGGATCAAAAACATTACAAATGGAATTTCTTTCAACCAGGCATATGGACAAAGTTCACATTTAGAGTACAAGTACCATTTGCCTCTTATCTGCCTGATTCATCTATCTTTGTGGGTGGTGCTAATTCTAGTGCAGAGAATGAATCAATTTTTACTGTTAATGGTGCACTCTTAACTTTTGGATCTAATTTGGCTGGATTAAGGTTGGACCAATTTAAACAAGTATACTCATCTACATACATGAATGGACAAAAGGATTTGTTGGAAATAAAATTGGGAAATGTTGTCAATACAGGTAGTAAATGATAATACGAAGTTAATACTAGTTATTTTTTGTGGTTATATACACAATAAACTTATCAACTGATTGATCTTTAACACGTTTGTTACGTGTGAGACAAAAACACATTTGTTAGCTAGCATCTGTAAATATTACAGTAATTATAATAAATATATATATATATATATATATATATATATATATATATATATATATATATGGGTAGATGTCAGTTAAGAAAGTAGTTATATAAGTTGGTATTAATCAATCAGGTTGAAGATTTGTAAAAAGTTTGAAATTAATAATTAATCATTAAATCTGACAAAAGTTCTGGACTAGTTTTTATGAATAAATGTGACTATAAGGTAAAAATGTTATCTGTACCTGGTGATCAGAGTAAGTTTTTGGCAGACGTTCTATCCACTATTGATGTTAGAAAATAGGAATCCAGGTTAAATTTCAATCTAATGAAACTACTTCAAATGAATTTCATAAACAAAAAGGGATTTGATATACTGAAACCTATCGGTTATTTTCTCTCGAATTTATATGGATTGCCTAAAGTTCACAAACCTAATAATCCATTACAACCAATATTATCTATGTGTGGTTGATCTACACATGAACTAACAAAATGATTATCTGAATTAATGAGACTGATCCGTAATAAACTGCGCAAATTTCCCTTGAAAGATACATTTAAATTAAGTGATTTTCTTGATGACATTAGTATTAAAAAAAAAGATTAAGCATTCTTTCGATGTAAACTCTCCTTTCACGAACGTATCTTTAAATAAGACTGTTGATTTCCTGTGTAACCATTATCTAGTGATTTCCTCCTTTTTCCTACTCGGTCAACACTGTTAAAAGAACTACTTATGTTGTTATGAGTAGCCCTCTGGCGCCTCTCTTAACTGATGTATTCACGTCATATGTTGAAAATATGACGAGCAGGCTCAACAGTAAGGTAATTCTGTACAACAGATACATGGGTGATATACTAGTTATATGTGATAAAGATTTCGATGTTTCTCAGTTATTAAATAAACTCAGTAGTGTACAGAATGATATCACAATGACCTATGAGGAAGAAAGTAATAACCAATTGCCCTTTCTGGACATATTTTTGAGTCGAAGAGAGAATAGAACTATAAGGTGGTTAGTTAAATGAAGCCAATATTTAAAATTTTACAGTTTCTGTCCATTGCAACACAAAGGGCGCCTGGTTAAGTGCATCCTTAATAGGATTAAAAGAATATGCGAGTAAAGAAGACACAAAACTGCTGACTAACTCAATAATATCAAAGTTTTATCCATTAAAGTCAGTCGACCCCAAAATCTCTCATTTATTTTGTTCTGAAGAAAACTGTTTATATCTCTCTAACATTTAGAGCTGAATCCAACAGCATGGTTTTAAGGTAGAGACTAAAAACAGCCATCGAGAAAACCTATTACTCTGTTAAACTGGTTGTGATTGAAACGACTAAGCCCGTGATTCTAAATAGACCCAGACAATGCACAAACGACTACGTCATAACCCATCGCATTTACCAATTTACATTTTTGTGTAGACAAGCATACATGGGGAGGAATGATCGAACAATGAGATTAGGGGTTATGAAACATGTATCTCGATGATTTTTATAAGCAAACATTGATAGTGGCTAGCAGTGGAATCCAGGACGCGCGTTTCGTCCTATTTGGGACTCGTCAGCTGGATGTACCTGCATCTCAGAGTTGATGTTCACTCTGGGACACATATGCCAATAAAAGACTGATAAATTGCAGTCTTAAACCTCAATGGGAAGATACAAGCAGAACAATACCAAGTGAATGTACCTAGACGGCTCAAAAATCAGTTAATGTCAAATGTTCCGATCAACGTAGAAAGTAGAAAACCATGTTCATCAATAGCACAGCACATAAATAAAACGGAGCATAAAATTGACATCAATACTGCTTTAAAACGTTGTATAGAAATTGTCAAAGATGAATTCCTAGGTTTATAGAAGCCTGGCGTGCAATACCGGAAGTCTCGCATTCGATTCCCGGATCCGGGGTCGTGGGTGCACGCGACTGAGAAGTCTCATACTGTGATGAGAAGGGCGTCCAGTGCTCCGCAATTTTCTGTGGCCATCTGGCTGAAATAATTTCATGATTTAAATCATAAAAATAATGGTTCGTTGGGACTTTAAGTGAGAATAGTTTTTTTAATTATCATTTACGATCTTTTCATCATGACTTTCTGTTCAAAAATTTCTCACATTTTCAGAACTATTTATATATAGGAATCGTTAGATTGATTAAGTTTGTACGTGCTTGTTCGTAAACATTTATGATCTATCAACCCTTCTTTTATAATCCTTCGACATAGATGATCCTCTTTTGGCAGTATTTAACGTATAATAATCGCGAACTTATTTATTAATCCGAATCAAACAACATAGATCCAGCATAACTTTAAAGTTGTCATAACATTCTCAATTTCTTATAATTATGTATATGTAAGAGTGAGAAAGCTTCTATTTATTTTTGATGAATATGAATATAAATTTCTGATGTTCCTTTTTTACGAAACTTCTAGGTGTTCTTTTACAACCAGATTCAACCAGTATAAATGAAAATGACATAGCGGTTGAAGTATCGATTCGCTTATCTGATAGTAAACTTAGTGATAATGGAACGAATGTTACGCTTCCTATTCGAGTTAAATTTGGTAGCCTCGAAGCTGTCAATCAAATGGAAGGTAAAGTGTTCAGGGTTGGAGACGAATTTCTTAATCTACAGATGAATGTTATAAATTTAGATGAAAACGTGACTGGCCTGGTATATAATCCGAAGTAAGTTTATCATTATATATATATATATATCAGCAGTCTGAAATTATGAACATTTTTTTGATTTTATGGCACTTTAGTAGTGTGTAGATTACATTGATATCAGATGGGACTAATGCCTTTCATACGTGTTTCCCTGAAGAATAAAGGAATACGGGAAAATCAACGGATCCTCGAAAGCTAAATCCAAACATAAATTGTTTTTTTCGATAATGCAATGAGAAGACGAAGTTTATCAGAATTATATGATATATTTGCGCAATACATTTCGAACAATCTGATCACACATATACTTGTTAAGACATTTTTATATGAAAATTAAAAGAAACAAACGAATTCCAATGGTCAAATTAGATCACAGAATAGGCAGATATCATCCTTCATTGTGAAACATTTGATTGAGACTGGTCATAAGGTTGACATCAAATCAGCATTTGTATTGTTGTACAAAGGCCTTCAAGGAAGTATACTAAGGTTTATTGAAGTCTTGGCTATACGGAAACTGAAACAATTTATCCTTACCCTTAATCTACCCTGGTAATACTGATTTATTATCCAGAATGGTTATCACATTGTTTTTGTGTACTTTAATATTACTTTTCTTCTTTTTTCTTTGTTATGGCTTACCTTTAACCTGTCTAGTTGACCTTTTAATTTCATATAAAAATGTCTTAACAAGTATATGTGTGATCAGATTGTTCGAAATGTATTGCGCGAATATATAACATAATTCTGATAAACTTCGTCTTCTCATTGCATTATCGAAATTTATCAAAGGGACTAGATGTTATAAATTTCTTTCATTCTTTGTGTAACAAAATAGTTTTACATTATTTAGTACATTTTTACTTACTTGCTTACTTACGCCTGTTACCCCTCGTGAAGGAGCATAGGATGCCCACCAGCATTCTTCATCCAACTCTGTCCTGGACAATCCTTTCCAGTTATTTCCAGTTGTTATTCGTTCTTTTGATGTCTGCTCCTAATGTCTAATTCAGTGTGTGTTCCTAGGTTTTCCTCTTTTCCGTTTCCCTTTAAGATTCGAAGTTAACGCTCATCTTGTGATGCAGTTTGGTTATTTCAACAATATGTGTCCTATCCACTCCCAGTCCTTCTCTAATGAATGCTTATTTTCTACACAGTTTCGACCCAACTTATAAAACTTTGAAATTACTACTCAGTCAAAACAGGTACATAATAGTCATTTTCACTTTTGAAAAAACAATGTACATCACAGACGATATATCACTTATACAATTAGGTATATGAATGCGAATTACTCAAGTGCTTTATCATTTGTGATTTGAAAATATTACTCTTTCCAGTGATACAATAAACCTGAGAGCTAAAATTCAAATGATGAATAACTCGAAAATGGAATGTGGAAAACAATGGCTAAATATTTATCACAGTATGGCCGTAAAATCAGCAGAAATTCTGTACTCCATACCACCAGACTCTGTTCAGTTCAAAAGAAACGAAACAATAACTGTTAAGGAACTCACACGTTTTCAAGTAAGCTGACTTTTATTTTTCTGATGATAAACACCCCTTCCGACTAAAATTAATTTAAATGTTCATGTAAACTGGCTGAAAGAAATTATTAGTAAAGTGTTTTGTCGAGATTGTTGAGTTGAGCTTACATCACCAGTTGACTCTAACTACAGAGACCACTGAAAACCAAGAAGTACTGAACATCTTCCTTGTCTAATAACAGAACTGTAAAACTATATGATCCCGTCACAGTACCCTAGGTTCGATATCTGAATGGTTGTGGTTGTGTGCTGATGATTAGCATACTACAGAGAAAAATCTATCAAGTGCTTCTTGGTTTTTAGTAGTTATCCATCTACACTCAGACTGTGATGTAAACTGTAAAACGAATTACGGAAACTGTAATATATCAAATGAGATGGCTGTTTAAACCTAAATGAACGTAAATTGTTAACTGGTTGTCATCCTATTTCATGTTGTTGGATTTATTTTAACAGTCACTTTTTAATATGACGAGTTCGCTTAGTGATGAACTTAAATTATGTGTGATACTCAGGGGTTAAACATATCCAAAACAATTTTATTTATCGCAAATCCTGCTTTAATCTAGAGTTGTATCCCCTTTAATTAAGAATGAATATCTTGATGTTTTCGGATCTTCATAGAAACTATTCTAAAACTAGTGTTTTTTATGTATTTGTGTAGGTTCAGTAAAGTCTAATTATGAGTTCGACAGAAACTACAGTTGACATACAACCAAATCAATGTTTCAAAATTCTTAATACAGAGAATGCCCAAGTACTCATGAAAACTTTTTTTCCATATAGATTTCGGCAATTATTTTTAGAAATACTTCGTACCCACAAATGAAGTTTTGATTTTTCAATTCATTATACATGTACAAAGTATATTCTAAAACAAGTACTCTAATCATAAAAACGCAGTTGGTGTTCGGTATTTTACTTAAAAGAATTATTAGTATAACATGTAAGTCAACCAAATCAGACATGTCAAATCATAAATACTTCAAAATATAAGGATTCGGACAATGGTCTCTTCAGTTAATTAAAAAATACAATTACAAAGCGTCTCACGGAAATTTCTTTTTCAAAATCTCTTTCTTATATTCAACAACCAGCAACTAAATAAAAACAATTCCCTTAAACTTAATTCTACAAATCTCATGTCGATTGTCTTTAAAGAGTATTATATTCACAGAGTAAAAATATTTATTTCATCTTTTTATGAAGCATACGGTTTGAAAATGTCACTGCATACATCTTTTCTTTGTTTAGGCAAATGGTTTCTATTTTGATAACAATATAGATCTCTACTTCGGGCTACAGCTAAATGACAAGATATTCATTCCAAATGGTAAAACAGAAGCAAATCTAACAATAGTTGTTGAACTTATTTGTATTACATATAATCGGGATAGAACTCTATTAAATTCATGCAATAATCCGACATTGAAAAAAATCATGAGGAAAGTTGTGGTTAAAACTAAACAACAAACTATAACGGGTAAGTTTTATTAACACACATGTTTTGTCATAGTTTACGCCATAGACTGGTTTAGTTAAATGACCACTAAAATTCAGGATTTATTGGACAGATGTTTTTGCTTAGTGTGTGACTCCTCAGCAGTCCGTATTTATGGCTCCATCGAGAATCAGGCCTAAGATCATCGATCCAACAGCATACTCTGGATATCTAAGTCAGTGTTTAAACACTAAAATGTATTCTTATATCTTTTCGAACCATTATAAGCTGAAAATTGCCCATTACAAAATTATTTTTTGTAAAAAAAAACAATTCAACCTCTAACTGACTTCGTCTTTGTAAAAAATAAGTCACTTTTTTTCTCAGCCAAAGCATTATAATGTTAATTCGGTAAACTGTTATTATTACTTCTGTAAAATTAATAAAAGACATCACAGCTTAACTGGATAACTCCATCTGGTTTCACAAATCTGTGATCCTTTAATTTACTTTAATTTTATCTTCATTCTTATAGGTTCAGATTGTGAAGAAGATTTGGGCCTTTCTAACAGTCAAGTAATTTTACCATGTCAGATCACTTCATATGTGTCACCCTATCTTGGAAATACAGAAGAGCAAATTAGATTCTATTCAGCGTCCGGTTGGAAACCATTTGTTCGTCCAGGACCACATGATCCTTTACGTTATATCACTATTTTATTCGGCCAACAAACAAATGTCAGTCGAATAGATATTAATCTGATAAACACAGCTAATCAAGTTATGATTTTCCACTTGATGGGAACCAACGATGGCCAGTCGTTCTTCGATTTTAAGACAGTAAGTACCTGACACTTAGAGTGGCCTGAAATCTCAGGAAAGTTGAAAAGTAACACACCGATTTAATTCCTACACCATTTTTAAGTTAAAATAAGTACCATTCCAAAATGAAGTCCAAGTTTATTAATCAAGTTTCTTCAACATTACGTTAATCTTTTCATATATTACGTTTGTTAGTAGCATATCGTATTTCCAAGTCAAATCAATAAACTGATTAAGGTGGTTGAAAACACTTAAATCTTAAGTGTATTTATTTTGTTTCTATAAGGTTAACTTCTCTCATCTCACATATCGCTATTGATAATAACAAATTTTGATTATATTTTGACATTATGAGATTAATACTATACTATGTACTGTTATCCTATCCATAAGATAACTAGTACTTTTCTTTTAAATACACATTGAATAGTTCTTTATAATCGATACCAATATAAATTTTAGCTCATATAGTTCTGTTGATCATGTACAAATTTAATATTAGTCACTAATGTGCAATCTTTTTATACATAGACTCAGGTTTCATGGCAGTACGAAGTGAAACTAAATTGTATCTTTGAGCTTAAAAAGAAAATACTGATCCCTCCCACTTAATGTGAACCTTTATCATCAACTTATGAAGTTATATATGTTATCACTGAGTTAATCGAACTACGTTTACTACCAGTAAGACTGAGATCCTGGTTTCATTAAATTGCTTAATATGAAATAAACTGTAGTGTAATGTCAAATCAATTAAACTAGTAAACACATTAATTTAATTGATAGAATTTAGTCGATATTAAACAAAAGATAACGTGACAATTTCGGAGCACAATTTGTTAACAACTTACAAAATTATATGGGGATACTATACATTATAATGTTATGGAGACACTAACTTGTATCATATCTAACTAATTAATGAATTTTTTAATCAATACTGTAAGCATTTATTAACAACTAAGATATAACCGAAACTTTATCATAACCATTATTTAACAGGTGTCAGTTTCCTACATAAATCAAAGTTATGGCCGCATATTTCTTCAGCCAAAATTTGTCTCAAGAGGAATGCGATTAATCGTCAGTGAGACAACAAATGAAAATATTGATGTATCTTTTACACTTGAACTTTATGGATGTAGACTTAACTTGGACACAAACACATTTGGTATTTTAGTTTACCATTTTTATCTTGATGTTATTACTTATCATCATTATTATCTAAAATTACTGCGTAGATAAGGTTAATAAGAATTTTAAAATTAAAAATAACCAATTTCCAATTGTACAGTAATCTTGTGCATTGCCACGCTAGTATATCTACGTTTTGCTTTAGTTTATAACCGATATTGTAAGGGGAAGATTATTATGATATTTAAAATGTAGTTTAAGTTTACTGGAAATATTATGAAAGCCCACTGAAAAACAGTGCAAAAATTAGAGTTGAAACGAATTTCAATATAGTATCATACCATTCATTTACCATGCCAAAAGCAACAGTATATTTCCTAGTTATTACTACAAAACACTATAATTCACTTCTGTGGTGGAAACAGTAAACCTTAAAATGATTCAAAGATTACGATTTCCTTATTTTGACTTATGAATAGATTTCATTCACTAAGAAATAGCTAGGAATATTTTTCATCCCGGTACGAGGATTCTCAGAACTGCGCACCAAAGATCACATAGGAGATCCAAGCATGGAGCTTAAGTCTCATGCTCTAGCGCCACTGAGCCAGAATTTTATGGTGTGCATGTCTAACCTCAATCAAATATACCAATGATATTAATCGATAATCGGTAGTACAATTCCATCTATCTGTGGTGTATGCTACTTATATCTGTCGACATAAGTAATATGTAACACCAGTCAGAAGTGGCAGCAAAACGCTGAGATGATTAAATTGAATAAAACAGGAATGTAAATGTAGAGTACTTGTGATAAAAACAGGAATGAAGGAACGATGAAGTTTGTAAGAGACAACTGATGGAAGATGCGCAAATGAAGTATTTAATGTATAGTTTTCGTATTTTACAAAGACATTCTATAATTTTGTATTGACTAAAAATCGTTAACCCCCATCCTGAATACTCGTTTACTACATATTAACTAGTAATTGCTAGGCTGTCCAATCCGTTCTCTAGTATTCATGAATGGACCAGTATTGAAGCCAAAAACCGTAGTGAACGCACATGGTACTACATTTTGTAATCCATATCAGGCTCTGAATAACGTACAAAGGAATCATCATTATGTACAATCATCACATATCTCCATGCAGCAAATGACTTAGATCAGATTTATTCATTTACCGATCATAAAAGCTTCCACGAATAATATGGTATGACTGGATATTATGTATTTGGTAGTTTCTGTGATAATGGTGTTATTTAAAAGAGAACGCTATTAATTTCAGTCTACTTTCGAAACAAGCTTACTGCATTGGTGGTCTGTCTCGTTCGTACATCTTAATACTTTTGTTCGAGATTATGATGTTTTGAATAATCAGCTGTGCGTTACGATTTACTAATGACATTGTAGGGTATATTTGATCTCAATTGAAGGAAATTTTAATAAAAAAAATCGGTATCTAAGGTGAAATTTACAAACAGGAAGATGATCCATCCAAGGTCAGCACTTCAAAGTTATGACAGAAAAAGTAACATCAGATTGTACTTTCCATTCATATAAAGTATTTAGTAGATTTTGTGCAAAAAACAATAACTGTATTCATTTATACAAGCAAAAGTATTGCTTAAAATATGTACTTTCATTTTAACTCATGGTAATCCTCAATCCCTATTATCAGATCCATGTGGTGTCCAAAATGGTTATGTGAGCCCATCAAACAACGGTCTACGAAGTTATCTTTATGCTGATGGTTATCTTTTCTATTGTGATGAATTCCCTACCACAATAAAATCGTACCTTACTGAAAAACGGTGTTTCGTGACATACAACAATGCTGACGTGAAGTGGACAGGTTAGTATACTAGCACATTTCAACAAAGAATTACTGCGGTACATGAAATACGTAAATTGATTTCTCCTTATTGTATATCACTAGATCAATCAAGAAATAAGGTCAAAAACTTGGAAATTTATACTCTGAACATATCCTGTTTTCCATTCGTACTGTTCAATTATAAAGTATCAACTTTAATTCTAGATAGGATACGAAAAGTTGACGTGAGCTAGAAATTTCAATTAATATGTGGAAAATATGACTAGTTAACTCTTACTCAAAGTTTCAGATCAGATGTTTTGCTTTAAATATAATACAGTGTGCATTTTATGTCAGATTTTGAACGATACCGAAATTCAATCTAGTGATCACATAAAATACAAGAAGTTATTTAAAAATGATATTTTTTGGATGACCCATAAAAATACGGTTTCCATGAAAGCGAAAGTTAGAGTATCCCACTTCATTTTAGTGCGGTAATTTAGTATTAATCCCAATGTCAAAGTTGATATAACTAATATGTAATCATCAGATGATGTAATAATTTTTCGAATTCCATTGTCCTAATAATCAACACTTATGTACAATCTTCAACATTACATAGTTTCAGATTTTTAGTAAATTTTGTATATTTGATGATAAAAAAATTTAATTATTGAAATATCCACCGTGAACTAGGTTTCATTTACATGAACAGTTGATATAATTTTTAGTCATTAGAAATACAGGTTTATAGAAATAGAGATTACCAGTCACTTGACATTTTATTTACTTTATCAAGCTATGTTAAACTTTAGCCTTATTCTTTATTAGCGGAAGTGAGAAGGTATCAAATTAATAGGCGATCAAATAAATGATGAAATCAAACTCAACTTTAGGTCTAACTAAGACTATCCTTAGGAAATTTATATTCAACTATCGGGTAGAGAAACCAAAAGATTTTACAGTCAAAATTTTTAAACAGTAAATAGTCCTCATCATTTCAGAAATTCAACAAATATATTTATTTTAGCTTTAATACATTGCAACTTGAAAAGTAGGATAAGAAATCTAAGGAAATTTTTTACTGATAACAACCTTGGCCCATATATTGTGTTTTGGAAGAGATAAAACTCTAATGATATTAGTTTGGTCATTTCATGTGTTCCCAAACATTGTAATAGTCAACATGCCAATAAAATTAGTGTCAGTCTACATGTAGTCATATCACCAAGTTATAATGATGTAAATTGGTGCACCGGTAATAAAAGTGAGAAGTAGGACAAAAAGTCTATAAGATGGCGAAACCACTGACACTTATATCAAATTCTAACATTTTATATCTCATCACAGCCGAAAAGCAATGTTGTTCTATGCATATTATGTATTCGTGTTTGGATTAAAGTATTGAATTCTAACCAACTATCATGTTATGTATGATAACAAAGTGAATGCTAGATACTTAATTTAAAGAATAATTCGGTCCGGTTACAAACAGAATAACTTTTAGTTACATGTTATAGAATGATATTCTATTCCAAAAACTAACAGAAGTAATCATTATCACTAGAAAAGAAACAAAAATTTCACCTTTTGCAGTGACCTCCATTTCTTGATAGAAATAGTAATGTTTTTATCTGTCTAACTTATATTAGATAGGCTACTCATAATATTTCTAACATATAATACATATTATTATTGTATTAATTAACTATTGAGTTTCTGTACTTTTAATGTAATTTTACACTCTTCTTCCGTACCAACAGACCTAGGGCCATTCATTACAAAAGTCTTGAGTTACATAAGTCCTAGTAATATAATATTTGCTCAAGGTCAAAACGATGATAGTATCTTATTGAGTAGTGATTACGGAGAAAGATGGACCTCCACTAACTTGTATACACAAGTGAAATTGACCAGAAATGCAAATTATTACATAAATTCAACTATTATACCATGGACTTATGCTGCTGGATATTTTGATCAAAGTATTACTGGTATATCATGTCAGTTATACCAACAAAGTTCATATCAGTGTAAGTTTTATTTACCTCTGAAATAAATTATAGTCTACTACTCTAATATACCGGTTTTGATTGATTAATAAATCTATTTAACATTGAAAGCAAATGTAACATAATTACTTATCGAATAATCTAACCGATTTCATACTTCATAGTTCAGCAATCAAAGTTTTAAAACCTTTATCAAACCCACTATAAGTGATGTCGATAAAATTACGTATAGAATACAGTGCATAGACACTATGGCTCCTTATCTAAGCAAATGCGATTGATGTTAATTTCATGATTTTATACAGCTTATTGGATTGCAAAAGAAGCATGTTTTTAGTTTCATCAATTTTTACATGAACCATTTGCATTTAATAAGCCAGTTGAAAATTAGAGTTAATCGATTGTAGCAAAAAAACAACTATAGAAAGACTTTTCGCATAATAAAAACACCCTAAAAGTTTATTTAATTACCAGACGATGATAAACAAAAATAAGGTAGCGACAGAAAACGATGCTAATCTTGTGTCTAGAAAGGCGTCACGTTAACTAGATTTCGATATTATCTAATTTATGGATCAATAAACAGTTGTCGTTATTGATTACAACATATTAACCACCAATAACCCTCTTTGAGCTTAGCATGAATGATTTGCTACTGCATTTAAAATAAACCTTGAAATTGTAAAATAAATAGCGTGAGTATTACTTAAGCTCTTCGTTGTTTTTGAGCATTTGGAGGTCCACTGTAATCCTAACAAGCATAAACAAGAAATCTTGTGAGTACAACACAAATCTAGCAATTCCATCAGATATTACTTTTCAAAAATTTTTTGACAGCTAGCAGCATAAGCTAAGTAATCTGTCAAACCATACAGGTTTTGAACAAGTCTAGCTGATTAGTAAAAAATGACAGGTGAATATTTAACAGAATGCTATATTCTTAGGTCAGCTGCTGATAAGCTTTAACCAACGAAGATTAGCATACGAGCTACTCTCATTAGATGAATCCTACTTTCAGGATAGAGTGATAAGAGTGACCCAAACTCCTATCAATCGACATTTTATCCTAATGTTCGTAGTTTATCGACCAATTAGTTTAACGTTAACTATCCTTTTCAATTTAGTTAAAAGACGATAAGCGACTACGTTTATACCATTTAGTGCGAACCTGTCTATTTTGTATTTTAATGTAAACCTCTATTTGTATATTTTCAAAGTAAAACTAGCATGGATCAGATATTATAATAAAAATAAGTTCCACATATTGTACCTCAAATTTAATACCAGATGGCAGATATTGTTGCTTCTGAAACTATGTAAATTACAAAGATATTTTAACAGCCGTTTCCTTTGACAACCAATCAGTCTAGCCTACGCGAGTTAAGAATATAAAGCGTATAAACACTGTAAAAGGAAATGATAGACTCAACTCTATGTCGAAATCATAACTAGCGCATTTTATAAATACTAGAACACAGTAAGAAGCAGACCTACAACTTATCCTTATCCCTTTTCTTAGTATTCAGTTTTGCGAGTACAACTCATCTCTTTGTTAAGTCTGATGATTCTGTTGCCGTAATAACATTTCAATGTTATCCCTTACATTATAGTTTGCTTTCAAGGCATTTACAAAACTAATACAATGGTGTCTGATTGGAACAGGATTTGTCCGGCCCTCCCTTAACGAAAATATCAATCGAAAATTGGATGAATATGCAACACTTGATCGCTATGCAGGATTCTTTCTTCGAATAGTTGCATAAATAATTGTGATAGCTAATAAGGGAATACAAAGAAATGACACTGATTATAAGAAAACAGATCACTTTTTTTACTCTAAGAATAATAACAGTGAGCTGATTATTAGTCTACCATTCAAAACAATTTTTAATAATCCTATATATTCTATTTCTTTTAAGTGAAATAAGGTGCATATATTTGATAACTGTTGAAAATATAAGGCTACCATAGATTTTTGACTCAGTTAATTCATAGGTACTACAATTAAATAGCATGAAATCATTTTGACAAATTAGTGAATAAGGATTGCTGATTGATTGTTACGATTCAAAATTTATTTTCTCAAATTTATTGACTATTAACACATAAAAAGTATACGATTACTATAAACCATACAGAAAACCAATGTGTCTGTATACGTAGTTCACTACTCATCATCACTTAATACTGAATGATGTCAAAAACCACGAGATCTACTGAGTCAACTATTTCTATTCAAAATGTTGAAAAAATACATACAATAAATGTTCTTTCACTTATTAGTTAATAAAATTGAATATATATATATATATATAGACATTTGTTCAGTTAAATAATTAATTAATTAATTGTAGGTTATTTCTGTGATAGCAACAATAAAATTTTATATATACTCTTCTATAAATAACTATGGTTATTACTTAGCAATAAGAAGAATATGTTAAAAGAAATAAACTTGTAAATGTTCAACGACAGAAATATATAATTTAAAAATCAATTTAGTCCTGGTTAAATGAATGAAGGATACAATAATCAAAAGTTTAAATCAAGAAAACTACAGCCAAATTGTAAAATTTAAAAACAGAGAATGGGTTTGAGAAAAGAAAAACACTAGAACTTTAACGCTTTTAAACTCATCTATTTAGTTTATTTCATTTTGCCATTAGTTTATGAGGTTGTATTCTTTTCAACAACTATATATATTAGTAGTGCGTAATAACGTAGAAACTACAAACTGTATCGACATTTACGAACCGCGATAAAAATCAGTTCAAACAAAAAAGTCTTTTTTATCACATACATTATTTATTTGTATTCAAGTGACAAAAAATGAAAAGAAATCATCAAGCTGTTTGTTGTTTGATTTGTTTTCTGAAGCAACCAATTATCCGAAGGTTTTACACCTATTATTGGTTTAAATAAAACTTTAAAAAAAACAACTTACAAATCAGATGTATGTAAAACAGCAAAACAATGTTAACGGGTTAAAATGACTGAGATAGGATACGGTCAGATGCAATTCAAGTGTTATTTCTTTCAATGTTCGATTGGATCCCACAAATAAACAAATAATACTTATCTGTTGTGTTCCATGTAAAAAAAAACATAAGAAGAATGGTTATCTGTACATATATGTGCATTGACATTCAATAACAGTATAACTATTCATACTTCAATGTAATTAAATGAGGAAAATGGCATGAGAAAATAAACAAAACAACAACCGTGAATCATAACAACAAAAGGAACCCAATAACAACATTTACGATCTACTAACAAAAAAATATGATGAATATTTGTTAACTAAAGCTGATCAATCAGTCAGTCAGTCAGTAACAACGTAGAACTACGTACGTACGTACATCAGTTCGAGTTGCCATACCACATTAGCACAGAGATGCAGTTGTCGACTCAAATTCCGTACTGATAGAGGTAGTAAGAGTATAAGCAGTAACATGGAACATTAAGGCTTGAAGATGTTATTCAAGGAGTATAATCCAGTGAAATAAATTTGGGAAGAGAAAAAAGAGACAAGGAGGAATCAGGAGATTAAAATTTGGGAGAACACAAAGATTGGATGCACCTGCGCCATTGCAAACGATTTTGAGCCATGTCATTCAGGGTCTCTAACCATCGGTTGCTATTGTCTCGCGGTCCCCAACCAGGTAGTCTACACCTACCAACATGACTCAGACCATTTGTCAGTGACTTCATGGACTTGTGCCATGTTTTGGTCTGGCCGCCCCTAGCTTTCTTCCAACCTACTCCTATACCACTGAACATCGCACGTCGAGGCAGTCGGTCGTTGGGCATACGTAACACGTGTCCAAGCCATCTCAACTGATGAAGTTTCAATACTTCATCAATTGACTTGCCATCCTTAACTAGTACCCGTTTCCTAACAACTGCGTTACTTACTCGATGGTCCCAAGATATAAGAGCAATGTTTCGAAGACACCTATGATCAAATACTAGTAACCTACCAATATCCTCTACTCTTACCGGCCATGTTTCACTGCCATAAAGTAGGACGGAACGAACTGCTGCGCAGTAAACACGTCCTTTGGTTGATAGACGGATATCTCGCCTACGCCATAAATGACGCAAGTTGGCAAAAGCTAGTCGAGCCTTCTGTATCCGTGCTGAGATTTCGTCACACACCAGACCACAAGGGCTGATGAGACTTCTAAGATAAGTGAAGCGATCGACACGCTCAATTACTTCACTCCCTATCATTAGTTCGGGTGTCAATACAACTCAATCCTGAAGCAACATTTTGCATTTCGAGGAGGGAGGATCGCATCCCGAACATGCTTGCATTGTTGCTTAGAGTGGTCAGAAGACCCTGCATTTTGTCAGCGTCTTCACCAAATAGAACTATGTCATCGGCATATTCTAAGTCAAAAAGTGAATCACAAGACAGGAGTTCAACCGCTAGAAATTTAGATGGGGAAAGTGTCATCTCTAAAAGCACGTCCACGATAAAGTTAAACAAGAATGGATAGAGTGGACAGCCCTGACGAACACCACTTGTGGTAATCAATTCTGATGACAGTTCGCCATAAGCTCTCACTCGACCAGTTGTGTTCGAGTAGAGAGCCTTTATAAGGTTAATGTACTTCTTTGGTACTCCTTTCAGTGACAAACACTGCCATAGAACCTCACGATCAACAGAGTCGAATGCCGCCTTAAGGTCGAGAAATACTACCATTGTGGGGCGTCTGAATGTGTGTCTGTGTTCTAGAACCTGACGTAGTGTGAATATCTGATCTATACAACCACGTCCAGGTCGAAAACCAGCCTGGTTTTCTCTAGTCTGCTCTTCACGAGCTTTAGTTAGGCGTCGAAGTATTATTGAAGCTAATATTTTAGACACTATATTAGTCAAACTGATTCCTCTGTGATTGTCACAAGAGGACTTTTGTCCTTTCTTATAGACTGGCACAATCAGTGATTGAGACCAGTCAGATGGGATTACGTCCAGTTCCCAAATTCTACCTAAGACCTCAGTTAATCTCATTGCTAATACTGGACCACCATCCTTAAAAATCTCAGGAGTAAACCTGTCAGGGCCTGCTGCTCTCCCTCGCTTCAGATTTCCTATGGCTTTTTCAACTTCGTAAAGACGGAGGACCTACATTAACTTGCCATTCAGGTTGACTGGAGATCGTGGGAAACCGAAGTGTGGCTGAAGGCCAGTTGAACTGATCCCTAAAGTGTTCTGCCCATCGATCCAATCTCCTGGATTGAGAATGTGTAATATGTCCATCTTTCTCTGAGATTGTTTCGCTAACGGTCGGTTCCTAATACCGGTTTCCTTAACAAGTCTGAACAATTGTCTGCTATTACCTATTGCCGCTGCCTTTTCCATCTCTCTTGCTTTCGCTACCCACCACTGTTCACGATCATTGCGTAGACTTCTTGTCAGCTTGCGCTTAAGCTGACTCCGCTCTTCATTATGTTCAGAGCCAGGTGGAATGAGTTTCCGAGCATCTATCAGTGCGATAGATGCTGCTGAGATCCAGTGTTGCTCCCTAACCTTACGGGTTACCTTACTAGCAGATATCACTGCTGTTTCCACAGCTTTTCGGATATCATTCCATGCTGCCTCGGGTGGGCATCACATACATGGCTGCCTAACTGTTTTCCTAGTTGTTCCTGAAATATACTCTTAGCTTGACTATCATTAAGTAGGCCCTAAGAGGTTTCCTTGCAGCGTCTTTCCTACGTCCAGTAAGACGCAGGCAGATACGCGCTCGGACTAGAGCATGATCTGAATCTAAGCATGTGCTCCAGAATGAGCGACAGTCTTCTATCGAGCCCCTCCATCGGTGGCTGATAGCGATGTGATCTATTTGGGTCCAACGTTGGGACGAATTAGGGGATCGCCATGTTAAAAGATGTTTTTCCTTATGCTTAAAGTTAGTATTTGCAAGAAACAGGCGGTTATCTGAGCATAGCTGCAACAGACGGTCGCCATTATCTGTTCTTTGAGCCACGACACCATAAGATCCACCTAGGTGTCTTTCCCTATCGCTTAGTTTACCTACTTGAGCATTAAAGTCACCGGCCACTATTACTACATCCGAGTGCCTAGCTTTTAGGAGGAGGTCAGAGAGCTTTCTGTAAAACTCATCTTTTACATCATCTGAGCTGCAGTCAGTGGGAGAATAGGCAGAGACGACGAAGAGGCAACGACGAGTGTCCCTATCTTTCCGAGTCCTTACTGTTCCGTTCAGTCGGACAGCGCACAAACGACTGTCTACTGGGATCCACTCTAAGAGAGCTAGTTCTGCCCTAGGACTCAATGCTATACCTACGCCGGCGAGGCCGCGGGAAGCAGAATCAGGGCTTCCAGATACACGAAGTGTGAATCGAGTCGGTTCTTTATTTTGGCATGGTGAGGTCAAATGAATGACGCTACTCGGATCCTGTATGCGCGTTTCGGAGACGCAGCACACATCGATGGCGCGAGATTCTAAAGTCCCAACTAAGGAAGCCTGTTGTCCTATTTGGCACAGTGTTCGGACGTTAAAAGCTCCTACGTGTAGTTTAGAGAGTGGTTTCAGTAGGTCAGGAATAACGTTCCGCGTACTCGAATCGTTTGCACTAGCGGTGCGAGATGATAAAGAGACGTGAGAAGGGTTAGTCATGGAGATAAGAGAGGTATTAGGAGGTATAGGAAGGAGTTGAATGTGACCAACTTTGTCTCATGTGCTGTTACGAGTATGTGGGCTGACATCACTTCCCGGCTGCCCACACCGTGCAAGGGTATTTCTTGAGGAACCTGGAAAGGAAGTCGGATTAGTGTTCGTCTTAACGACCTGGGAGCGTGACCGCAGAGCCCAAGAGATAACTGTTTGAGGCCGGTCGCGCACGGCCTTGTTGTGGGAGGTCTCAAACATGTTAGCTCCGTTCTTTAAAGGGCCCTACCGCAGGAGACGGAAATCCGTGAGGTAAGGTGAGGCGTGACATTTTTAGGGTCGACCTTTTCTAACCCCTTCCTTCCTTGTGAGAAGGCAGTATCGCTGCAGATGCCGGTTGTAGGAGGAAAACACCTTACTGCTGTCACATCTCTCTACAGTCGGCAGTACGAATTCGCCCTCAGACCTTGAGTTGCTGCTTTTAGTCTTACCGTTCTCCAATCGACCTGCATGGCATGGTAGAACCTACAGGAACATATGTTCCAGCCAATATAGCTCGGTTGGGTCAATACAATAGGCCAGCCCGACCACCGCATCAAGGTAGCAGCTACGGTCGGGAAGCTGATCAATATACCGAAACAAATTCAAAGGAAAGACATCGACCGATACATCTAGCTTTAAGACAAAATAATTCCACTAAACAGATCAAAAGCTTTCTTTAGAAATAAAGAAAATACAATCAGTATCAAAAACATTTGAATTGTTGAAAAAAACAAAAATAATACCTGACAAATTAGTCAAATGTTCAAACAAGCTTGTGATCTCGTTGTTTACTGAAAAAGAGAACTTCATGAAAGTATGGTTAACAAGAAATGGTGCAACGAAATTGTCTAGCAAATGTCCGAGTAAAAATTAGAACAAGTTATGAATGCAAATCGGATGAATAAAATACACAAGGAAGTGTAGTCTTTCACATACAATTCAATGATAACTACAAAATAAAAATTACAATAAGTAAAGCGTTAAAAAATCAAAAATATCCATATTTCTGCATAAATAATACAAATAAATGAGCTCAGGTGAAGAAAAAACGAAGCACAGAATATACTCACAGATAAAACGACATGAAAGGATAAGACTACTAAAATTTGATTGTTTTGGCTTCTTTTCAAATATTTAAAATCCTAATAAAAGAAAAATTTAAAATGTAACAATCAGTTAAATCTATATTCAAAGAAATTTTTTATGAGCATATATTAAAACCTGTGCATAAATACCGTCTCGCAGTGAACACAATATATCAAAGTCAAAATAGAACGTCTACTATTAATATAACAAGTTAGCTCAGATGGTAACGGGGTAATGTAAATATATATAGGGAGAGAAAGTCCAAACGATAAACAAATAAATTATAAGTAGCAAAATAACCAATACAAAACTTAATGTAACTCAGCACTGTCGTGTATTTACTTTTAAGTAAACTAGACATAAAGCCAAGTCGAGCAAACTGAAGCAAACAGAGTTAGGTCTGAATCTAAGAAACAATGATAAGTATGCTACTGATTGTGATGTAAGTATAAGTCAGATACGGACCAGTAAATCCGAGGCCAATTTACTAATTTGATATGTTGCAAAATTATAGTCATAATAAGACAAAACTTTCTCAACGTCCCTCTATTATTCTACTAATATTAACCTTAAATTTAAACCTAAAAAATAGTTTATCACATTCGCAATAAATCACAATCATGTTTAGCAATAGTGTAACTTACAATGAGAAAAACAGCAGCTAAGAGAATCGCTTTTACTTTCACGTCTAAGTCCATCGGAAAAGAAACTCCAAAATTATCTGCATCAGTAAAGAATTCTTGGACAATATTGCTCCATTTTCTCGTAATTCTACCTATTTCGACAGTACCGTCAGCAGAAGTTACCTTGAAAAGATTATTTAAGAGATATTAAAGATTAATTAACCGGATCAATTCTAAGATCCGCAGGTAACAACGAACACAAACAATCATTAAGCTAAATGAGTTAGATGAACTTCACGGCGGATCTCTTTGTATGTCAGTCAGTCATCATCAACATAAAGCCTGGTAAAGGTGTGCGTTGACACAAGTTACCATATCACCTTAGTATAGCAAGATGAAATTGACAAGATGTATAGAAAAAGAGAAATAATAAAGTTGCAATGAGGATGAACATGATGAAGCATTGAGAATAGAGTTTAGAAAAGTAGAATGGAGAGGCATTTCTGGAGAAATACTGAGAAGAGAAAATGCGTCTATTCTATTGTGAACAATTCTGAGCCGTATCACTCCAACCACAGATCACGGCTATCACGAAGACCTCAATCAAGTAGTCAACGTCAACAATCATTGAAGTACACAAGAAATGAACGAAATAAGTTTGAAGTGTAGTGACAATAAAATAAAAGTTCGTGAAGAATCTACAATAATGATAATAATGAAACAAATTTGTATTTTAACTGTTCATCGGTGATTCTTTTTGATGCATGGAGATGAGGCAGGAAAACAAAATCTATGGTGATTTCACAGACAGGAAAATAGAAAACTTTTTCAAATATCTGGCAGCTAACAAAAGACATTGAAACAGACTATATATTCCGTAAAGACTGATTTCAATGTACAACAAATAAAACCGGGTTACAGATTCTTATCACTTCACAACAGATCTTTGTACACTAAGCAAACTTTTTAACTAAGCTTAATTTCTTTCCTAAAACGTTAGAGAACTAACCTTTTGATAAGCAGAGACTAGAATCACACAAACAAAAATTCCAATAAATATGACAGGTACACTATGAACGATGTACGTAATCCGAAAGAAAAAGGATAGAAAAAAAAACCCAGACGAAGTAGATTATCACTGATTGAAATCATGAGTCAGTTGAAGCTAGAACACTATGGAAAACCTGGGAGCACTGGACGGCCGTTTCCTACTAGACTGATAGATCCTGCGTTCGAATTTCGCGGGGTGCGGGATCGTAGATGCGCATTGCTGAGGAGTCCCATACTAGGACGAAACGGCCAGCCAGTGCTTCCAGGTTTTCCATGGTGGTCTACCCTCAATTGACTCATGATTTCAACCAGTGAAATTTCTAAAATCCCCAAAAAACCCCTTCTGATAAAGTGGATTACCATTAATTTCAAGTAGCACAATGAACAAAATTATACAAAGTGACAAATAAAGTCTATTTTGACAATATTTATCGTCAACAGAAACAATAATTTAAATGTTAATAAGAAAGTATACCTTAAATATTATATCCGATCCTAAACATTCACAAAAACAACATGATGGACCATGTATTTGCAGAACTGTACTCTGGTTATTATCCAAAATGTGGTAATCAAGATTACAACCACTAAATACTCGTTTCACATAGCCGATACAATTTCCAGCTGGAGACTGAACTTCAAGTTCCTCTTGACAGCATTCTAAACACCTAGACCAAATCAATTAACACATCAATTAACTTTTACAAAACGAAACAATCTGATCTCAGAAATCACATTAGGAAATCATGTTACGGTAGCAAACGTAATCAATCCCTGATAAAAGTAGTTTCACTAATGATGGATTTGTTCGTAGTCAACAATAATCTAAACCATATTTTTACATCACAAACTAAACTGTGTACTTACAGTTAGTTAAGCAGTGGTTGGTGACACTACAGTACTCGACAGAATCGAAAAAAACCAAAACAATAGACGAATTCGAAAGTAAATATAGGTGGAGAACGACTGTTTTCCCCGTTCTACTGGTTACAGGATGGAGATAACTAACCCATAGAAGAATACACCAAATGTAAACTGAAACCAGTGAAGGATTACCAGCACCACCACATTCTCAATAATATACATCATTTCCCTGGCCATCTTTTCACCAATCTACTGTTATTTCTCACAGCCTTCAAACTGGGCAAGGTGACAATCCCTTACTTTGATGCACAGTTCTAACTTGAACTCAAGCACGAATGGAAAAGCCTTGATGATGTAGTCATAATACGCCATCACATGAATTAATGACCACACTAAACCTCATTCAAAAATGTTGGTTTTATAAGTTGAATCCATGACCAGGGTGAAAATCGAACACAGCGTTCAAGATAGTATGTGTTAATCTTCAAGTCTTATATCATTAGCTTACCTATAATAATATAGCATTGATTAATCTTGAATTCTGTACAAAGTGAACACAAATTGAATACCTCATTGTCTTTGAGTTTGTATGAATCTGTCGTATTTTCTGTTTTTTGTTGACAGTTAAACATTATTTTCCTCACATAATATTCTAAATGAACAGTTCTTCATTTAGAATTGATCAAACACTGTCCAAAAAGTACACCTATGATTGATGGGAATGATAATAAATTTTACGTTATTGGTGCAGTATACTTCAAAGATAATGGCCAATATTCACAAAATTCTTCTTTTACTCAAGTAACCTCGTGTAGGAAAACAAAATCAAGGGCTAATTACTTCATTACTTATATATATAGAAGCTCGGGAGTGTAAAATACTTAATTTCTATAACTGCCCATAAATTAATGTAAGGACTTTCAAATGACTTTGGAATAAGCTTATTTGTATAGCAAATTCAGAAGTGAAAATATATCAATACTAGTTCGCTAATCAGAGAAAACTTAAGTTTCTTTTGCATACCTAAAGCCTCGATTGTTGTTTCGAGTGTAACATTTTCTGTTTACTAGTGGAAACTAATCCATCCTCATGTTTTCACGGTTGTATTCTCAAGACTGAAACATTTATGGCTCTGACCAAAAGCTCTAATATATTTCTCGAAAAAATAAGAATATCTAGCAAGCTTGTACTAGTATAACGAGATCAAGCCCCATTACTTATTTAGGTTTACAGCCGGATATGTAAGCTAATGTAATAAGCTAGACGTATAAAAGATGTATGTAAAACGTAAGTATTAAGATAGAAATTTAATTTTTACTAAACTAATTGTAAATGAAAAAATATGATGCAAAGACAAGTTGGAAGGTTAGTGTACACATAAAAAGACATCAAGCAGATGACTTAAAACATTTAAGAGCAGAATTAGAATAACTGAATAAGAAATATGTAGCAAAAATTAAGATATGTTCGTCATGTGTACAAAATCTGTGGTCCCAAAAAAATTTACTGAGATAATTGGGAATAGATTGGTTACTTTTACAATGCATACCGAACTGAATAAACTGACATTCGACTAACGTCAAACCCTTTCGATAAACCACTGATATAATGGGGACAAGAATAACAGAGATTAAGAATAATCAAAATCAGTTAGCAATAAAGCATTTTGTCCAGGCAGGTTTGTAAGTGTTCAGGATATTATTATACATACTTCACCATTAAATAAGCGTCTCACTGTGAGTTGAAATGAATACAAGAAGGAATGAACAAATGCAATTTAATGTGAAATGACTTCAAAACAGCTGGGAGAAAAAGTACTTGTGTCAAACAGCTACCTTTTTTGAATAGATATACGTTTGATAGAAATTAGTCATAAGATCAAATTGAAAAGTTTTAAATCTTTTTCTACAGATGCTACTATGAGTGTAAATGTAAGTCTGTTGATATTTTCGTAATTTTTATTTTCAGATCCTCTTTGAAGTATTTAAAAATAATTTGTTCTTGCGTTAAAATTTCCTCGGTAATTAATAATGAATCTCAATCTCAAGAGTGATGTTATGACGTACGTACTTCTTTAGCATTATTATAAGATTTTTGTAATTCTCATAACACATCATTGATTTACATAACTTATTTAGTCATAAATTAAAGTGTCTTAACCATGTAAATTTGATCAGCTTGTGAAAAAGAAATTACGCAAATAAATAATCAATTTTTTTAAAGTAAAACTTCAGTATTTTCATTACAATAAGTAAAATCGTGAAAGAAAACACTTGTATTCCAAGTAAACAGTAAAAGTGATATCATAAAAGAAAAAAACTTATTATACTTACGAACAACAAGGGTAACAATCACATCGAAAAGGTCGAATTGCACGGATAACTTCAGAGTTATTATTGTTTAAAATATGTAATACGAAAGGTCTTGATGCTCCACAGAATGCACGTGAACAAAAGTCAGATTCTACGGAAAATAGAAAGATTACAAAACCCAAACTAATTAATACCTGTTTTGCATCACTCATTAATCAAGATAATAAAAATATTGTTCAGATAATTCGAAAACAGTGGAAGCTAAACACATCACTTAGTGGGAATACACTATTCAGTACTACGTATGTATCATTACCAAGGTTTGATTTGATAATTTCGAATAAATTGAGCATTGAGTAGATTGTTTTAAATAAATAATATATTTGTAATATCCCAATGAGTAAAAAATTAGATTTTCTGACCAATTTTCTACTCATTGGGATATTACAAATATATTGTTTTTTATATTCAGTACTACATTGTATGGTTCTCAGAACTAACCGAATCGACAGTCGAATACTCTGCAACTTAGGTTTTCTATTTTAACTAATGAAAGAACTTAGAAAAATTACACTTGATACTTTACATTGATCATTTACCGTTCAGTAAATAACACATGGTCTAGCCCATAGTCACTGGTTGCAAAGTATGCTAGCTAAGGCTCAAAACGCTTAAAGGTAACGTCTTCAACGTCAGCACAACAAGACTAAGGTTCGAAAATCCGCAGATATAACTGGCTGGTAACTGCTAATTAACACCCCCGCTGGTTTCTCTACTTTCTAAAACTTAGCTCTAACTAAAATGTCGATATCATTAGTAAACTGTATTAACAAAATAACACAGTCTAAATAAAACAATCAACGCTAGAGAAGACAAGCCAAAAAATATTTGAAAAGGGCAGGAGTATGTTGTTATTTTTAAGCTTTCCTATAACACTCATACATCTAGCATAGTAAAGAGAGTTTTGATAGTCAGTCAGTCAGTAACAACGTAGAACTACGTACGTACGTACACCAGTTCGAGTTGCCATACCACATTAGCACAGAGATGCAGTTGTCGACTCAAATTCCGTACTGATAGAGGTAGTAAGAGTATAAGCAGTAACATGGAACATTAAGGCTTGAAGATGTTATTCAAGGAGTATAATCCAGTGAAATAAATTTGGGAAGAGAAAAAAGAGACAAGGAGGAATCAGGAGATTAAAATTTGGGAGAACACAAAGATTGGATGCAATTACACCATTGCAAACGATTTTGAGCCATGTCATTCAGGGTCTCTAATCATCGGGTGCTATCATCTCGCCCCTAGATTTCTTGCAACCTACTCCTATACCACTGAACATCGCACGTCGAGGCAGTCGGTCGTTGGGCATACGTAACACGTGTCCAAGCCATCTCAACTGATGAAGTTTCAATACTTCATCAATTGACTTGCCACAAGAGGACTTTTGTCCTTTCTTATAGACTGGCACAATCAGTGATTGAGACCAGTCAGATGGGATTACGTCCAGTTCCCAAATTCTACCTAAGACCTCAGTAATATCACTGCTAATACTGGACCACTATCCTTAACAATCTCAGGAGTGAACCTGTCAGGGCCTGCTGCTCTCCCTCGCTTCAGATTTCCTATGGCTTTTTCAACTTCGTAAATAGTCGGAGGACCTACATTAACTTGCCATTCAGGTTGACTGGAGATCATGGGAAACCGAAGTGTGGCTGAAGGTCAGACTTTTAATAATAAACCGTTAGTTTAGATAACAAACAACTTGACAATCAGTTGTACATAAACGTACAATCGTATCCCGTTTACACAAGATAAATTTACATTGAATACTCTCTGTTACTGTTAAACTTGTAAATGAAACAAAGAATGTGAATAACCATTTCAATTGCGATATTTTTAAGTTTTGAATGAGATTTCGAAATGACGAACAATTTTAGGTGTTACACGTAAAGAATATAGAATCAAAATTTGATATCAAATGCAGTCAAAAGTTTCCAAAATCAACAAGCCATAACAAAACAAAACGTGTTCGTTCAAACGTTTTAACAAATATTTATATTATACATAGGCGACCAAAATGCTTAACTGTGAAATATCCAAAACAATAGATTCAAACCAAAGCAAATATTTTGAGTTATCCAATCTATTCCCATCATATGTTAGATTGAATCGTCATTACAGGAAAAGTAAATTCAGGAAACCTTTTAAAAGGTTGACACAATGACTAACAAACCAGATATGCGCTATCCCATATGTATATTATTGAGAATGTGGTGGTGCTGGTAATCCCTCACTGGTTTCAGTTTACATTTGGTGTATTCTTCTATGGGTTAGTTATCTCCATCCTGTAACCAGTAGAACGGGGAAAACAGTCGTTCTCCACCTATATTTACTTTCGAATTCGTCTATTGTTTTGGTTTTTTTCGATTCTGTCGAGTACTGTAGTGTCACCAACCACTGCTTAACTAACTGTAAGTACACAGTTTAGTTTGTGATGTAAAAATATGGTTTAGATTATTGTTGACTACGAACAAATCCATCATTAGTGAAACTACTTTTATCAGGGATTGATTACGTTTGCTACCGTAACATGATTTCCTAATGTGATTTCTGAGATCAGATTGTTTCGTTTTGTAAAAGTTAATTGATGTGTTAATTGATTTGGTCTAGGTGTTTAGAATGCTGTCAAGAGGAACTTGAAGTTCAGTCTCCAGCTGGAAATTGTATCGGCTATGTGAAACGAGTATTTAGTGGTTGTAATCTTGATTACCACATTTTGGATAATAACCAGAGTACAGTTCTGCAAATACATGGTCCATCATGTTGTTTTTGTGAATGTTTAGGATCGGATATAATATTTAAGGTATACTTTCTTATTAACATTTAAATTATTGTTTCTGTTGACGATAAATATTGTCAAAATAGACTTTATTTGTCACTTTGTATAATCTTGTTCTTTATGCTCATTGAAAATGATTACTAGATTAGTATTAGGTTTTGATGTTTTGTGAGATTATCGCGGGGTCATTATTTTGTTTTTAATGATCCTATCGGCTTGCTATTGTCTTGTTAACTTATAACATATTTTCATTTTGAAGCAAGCAACAAGATTCTAGTGTTAAATTTCACAGTAAATCTTAAAAAACTTATATAACTCACCTTCGTAACATCGATATACACTTTGTCCCAATGTGTTGTAACAGGTATAGCGATTTTGCACTTCATAAGGCACGAATGCTGAATGCAGTTGTATGGGAAAAAATACCTCATGGTAAGTGAATTTAAACAACTTTCTTGCGTAAAATACAAAATACTATCAATAGAAGCTAATTAAGTCTAATAATCTTTAAGAATGGAAGCCGCACTGAATACGTTATTGGTAAGCTTTATCATAGGACTTATCAGTACCTTTATTTAATATCAAGCACGCAAATATAATTCAAAATAATTTTTTGTTTACATTGTCAAACCTATCACGTTGTGTCTACTCTCTTAACGAGCGACTTTTAATTTAGAACTTCATTAATATATCGCTGTAATGTTGTTAAAAAACTCATGCTGCAAAATTAGCTATGTCAAATCTAAATAATACATATGTTAAAAACATCAAATTTAAATTGATTGAAAATTAAACCAACTTCGTAACCTAATACAAGCTGAAAATAGATAAACTATCTTCCAAAGTTTGTTTGTCTGATCATTTGCTATGAATAAATCACTGAATTATTTAACCAGCTAAGCTTAGCTGGTCACTACTTTTTCTGAGGTAACGTTAACAAATACAAACAATTATCTGCTACTATCTGTTACCTATCCCTTACGTCTTTTACCAGAAAGTTCTCGTAAGGAGTTGGTAAAAACTACCTAGAACTAATTTTCGCAGATTCATGAAACTCATTGGAACAGCAGCGATAAGTGAAGATTTTAAGATATTTTGGTTAAAGTCGCTTACTTGATGATACCAGGCATCAAACAGATTTTGCTCCAATGTTAAACCAAAGATGAATAAGAACATACTTGACGATTTCATTAGCAAGTCTAGCTAATAAAAAATCTAGTAAAATATTTGTCAAGTACATTCATATGCACATAGATTCAGTTAAAACATTTAGGAAGGTAACTGATCCTTTAGAGAATCACTGCAACGGTTATGGATAACGGAACTATGTTGATGACAAAGTTAATGGCAGTAATTACTTTGTCAATAATCTTTATTTACGACTGAAGATTATCAACCGGAACTGTAAGAAAGCTTCTATTTGAGCTCAAAACATGTATACCCAATTCATCAACCACAAGAACACTTACTTATTTACTCTTCCAATATATGAAGAGATTTCGGTGGGTTTCTCCTTTCAACCCATCGCACTGTGAGTAAACGATTTCTAACTTGAAAGTAAACTAAATGATTCTAACTTTATGAGGCAGTTTCGAAAGGCAATTTGTGCAAACGTTGATTACCGAAACAACTAAAGTTCTCAAAAATGATACAAATAACTATTCGGAAAAGAATCATTATGACTAAAAAGATCACTTGATTAACACAACAAATAATATTAATATCAGAAACATTACCACCTATCTTGAATCTAACTTGAAGATGGTTTAGGCTAATTTGTAAGTACTAAATGCAAACACTAACTAAGAAAACATAAGTCCATAACAATGTGGAAAGGTTGGTAGAACGTAGATATGCAGAAACCAGTAAAAGGATGAAACATGTAAATTAATAGCAGGTGGCTTGATGGTTAATTAGAATATGTAAGAAATTGGTAAAAAATCTACGATAATATTGCCCAGAATCACAGTGAAAGTTCCGCAATTAAACCCTTTAGCTCAAAGGACTCAAGAACGAAATAATTCGAAACCGTGTATCCTGTAAAGAGACGTTTTTGTAGAGAGTCAGGGCGATTGGTACTGATAGTTTGCTCAACCAGGATGAATAGAAATTAAAGAAATAACGCTCTCACTCTCAACAACAAGTTTCAAGCCTTGCAAGATCTACTCACAGAAGAGGAAGCTGCTGTCGAGAACAACTCAGTCAGTCAGTAACAACGTAGAACTTCGTACGTCAGTACATCAGTTCGAGTTGCCACACCACATTAGCATAGAGATGCAGTGGTCGATTCAAATCCCGTAGTAGTAGAGGTAATAAGAGTGTAAGCAGTAGTCGGGAAGATTAGTGTTTAGAGATGTTACTTAAAGAGTATAATACAGTGAAATAAATTTAAGAGGAGAAAAAAAGAGACAAGGAGGAATAAGGAGATCAAAATTTGGGAAAACACAAAGTGTATGCACCTGCGCCATTGCAAACGATTTTGAGCCATGTCATTCAGGGTCTCTAACCATCGGTTGCTATTGTCTCGCGGTCCCCAACCAGGCAGTCTACACCTACCAACATGACTCAGACCATTTGTCAGTGACTTCATGGACTTGTGCCATGTTTTGGTCTGGCCACCCCTAGCTTTCTTCCAATCTACTCCTATACCACTGAACATCGCACGTCGAGGCAGTCGGTCGTTGGGCATACGTAACACGTGTCCAAGCCATCTCAACTGATGAAGTTTCAATACTTCATCAATTGACTTGCCATCCTTAACTAGTACCCGTTTCCTAACAACTGCGTTACTTACTCGATGGTCCCAAGATATAAGTGCAATGTTTCGAAGACATCTATGATCAAATACTAGTAACCTACCAATATCCTCTACTCCTACCGGCCATGTTTCACTGCCATAAAGTAGGACGGAACGAACTACTGCGCAGTAAACACGTCCTTTGGTTGATAGACAAATATCTCGCCTACGCCATAAATGGCGCAAGTTGGCAAAAGCTAGTCGATCCTTCTGTATCCGTGCTGAGATTTCGTCACACACCAGACCACAAGGGCTGATGAGACTTCTAAGATAAGTGAAGCGATCGACACGCTCAATTACTTCACTCCCTATCATTAGTTCGGGTGTCAATACAACCCAATCCTGAAGCAACATTTTGCATTTCGAGGAGGGAGGATCGCATCCCGAACATGCTTGCATTGTTGCTTAGAGTGGTCAGAAGACCCTGCATTTTGTCAGCGTCTTCACCAAATAGAACTATGTCATCGGCATATTCTAAGTCAAAAAGTGAATCACAAGACAGAAGTTCAACCGCTAGAAATTTAGATGGGGAAAGTGTTATCTCTAAAAGTACGTCCACGATAAAGTTAAACAAGAATGGATAGAGTGGACAGCCCTGACGAACACCACTTGAGGTAATCAATTCTGATGACAGTTCGCCATAAGCTCTCACTCGACCAGTTGTGTTCGAGTAGAGAGCCTTTATAAGGTTAATGTACTTCTTTGGTACTCCTTTCAGTGACAAACACTGCCATAGAACCTCACGATCAACAGAGTCGAATGCCGCCTTAAGGTCGAGAAATACTACCATTGTGGGGCGTCTGAATGTGTGTCTGTGTTCTAGAACCTGACGTAGTGTGAATATCTGATCTATACAACCACGTCCAGGTCGAAAACCAGCCTGGTTTTCTCTAGTCTGCTCTTCACGAGCTTTAGTTAGGCGTCGAAGTATTATTGAAGCTAATATTTTAGACACTATATTAGTCAAACTGATTCCTCTGTGATTGTCACAAGAGGACTTTTGTCCTTTCTTATAGACTGGCACAATCAGTGATTGAGACCAGTCAGATGGGATTACGTCCAGTTCCCAAATTCTACCTAAGACCTCAGTTAATCTCACTGCTAATACTGGACCACCATCCTTAAAAATCTCAGGAGTAAACCTGTCAGGGCCTGCTGCTCTCCCTCGCTTCAGATTTCCTATGGCTTTTTCAACTTCGTAAAAGTCGGAGGACCTACATTAACTTGCCATTCAGGTTGACTGGAGATCGTGGGAAACCGAAGTGTGGCTGAAGGCCAGTTGAACTGATCCCTAAAGTGTTCTGCCCATCGATCCAATCTCCTGGATTGAGAATGTGTAATATGTCCATCTTTCTCTGAGATTGTTTCGCTAACGGTCGGTTTCCTAATACCGGTTTCCTTAACAAGTCTGAACAATTGTCTGCTATTACCTATTGCCGCTGCCTTTTCCATCTCTCTTGCTTTCGCTACCCACCACTGTTCACGATCATTGCGTAGACTTCTTGTCAGCTTGCGCTTAAGCTGACTCCGCTCTTCATTATGTTCAGAGCCAGGTGGAATGAGTTTCCGAGCATCTATCAGTGCGATAGATGCTGCTGAGATCCAGTGTTGCTCCCTAACCTTACGGTTTACCTTACTAGCAGATATCACTGCTGTTTCCACAGCTTTTCGGATATCATTCCATGCTGCCTCGGGGTGGGCATCACATACATGGCTGCCTAACTGTTTTCCTAGTTGTTCCTGAAATATACTCTTAGCTTGACTATCATTAAGTAGGGCCCTAAGAGGTTTCCTTGCAGCGTCTTTCCTACGTCCAGTAAGACGCAAGCAAATACGCGCTCGTCGACTAGAGCATGATCTGAATCTAAGCATGTGCTCCAGAATGAGCGACAGTCTTCTATCGAGCCCCTCCATCGGTGGCTGATAGCGATGTGATCTATTTGGGTCCAACGTTGGGACGAATTAGGGGGTCGCCATGTTAAAAGATGTTTTTCCTTATGCTTAAAGTTAGTATTTGCAAGGAACAGGCGGTTATCTGAGCATAGCTGCAACAGACGGTCGCCATTATCTGTTCTTTGAGCCACGACACCATAAGATCCACCTAGGTGTCTTTCCCTATCGCTTAGTTTACCTACTTGAGCATTAAAGTCACCGGCCACTATTACTACATCCGAGCGCCTAGCTTTTCGGAGAAGGTCCGAGAGCTTTCTGTAAAACTCATCTTTTACATCATCTGAGCTGCAGTCAGTGGGAGAATAGGCAGAGACGACGAAGAGGCAACGACGAGTGTCCCTATCTTTCCGGATCCTTACTGTTCCGTTCAGTCGGACAGCGCACAAACGACTGTCTACTGGGATCCACTCTAAGAGAGCTAGTTCTGCCCTAGGACTCAATGCTATACCTACGCCGGCGAGGCCACGGGAAGCAGAATCAGGGCTTCCAGATACACGAAGTGTGAATCGAGTCGGTTCTTTATTTTGGCATGGTGAGGTCAAATGAATGACGCTACTCGGATCCTGTATGCGCGTTTCGGAGACGCAGCACACATCGATGGCGCGAGATTCTAAAGTCCCAGCTAAGGAAGCCTGTTGTCCTATTTGGCACAGTGTTCGGACGTTAAAAGCTCCTACGTGTAGTTTAGAGCGTGGTTTCAGGAGACCAGGAATAACGTTCCGCGTACTCGAATCGTTTGCCCTAGCGGTGCGAGATGATAAAGAGACGTGAGAAGGGTTAGTCATGGAGATAAGAGAGGTATTAGGAGGTGTAGGAAGGATTTGAATGTGACCAACTTTGTCTCATGTGCTGTTACGGGTATGAGGGCTGACATCACTTCCCGGCTGCCCACACCGTGGAAGGGTATTTCTTGAGGAACCTGAAAAGGAAATTGGATTAGTGTTGGTCTTAACGACCTGGGAGCGTGACCGCAGAGCCCAAGGGACAACTGCTTGAGGCCGGTCGCGCACGGCCTTGTTGTGGGAGGTCTTTAACGTGTTAGCTCCGTTCTTCAAAGGGCCTTACCGCCGGAGACGGAAATCCGTGAGGTAAGGTGAGGTGTGACATTTTTAGGGTCGACCTTTTCTAACCCCTTCCTTCCTTGTGAGAAGGCAGCATCGCTGCAGATGCTGGTTGTAGGAGGAAAACACCTTACTGCTGTCACATCTCTCTACAGTCGGCAGTACGACTTCGCCCTCAGACCTTGAGTTGCTGCTTTTAGTCTTACCGTTCTCCAATCGACCTGCATGGCATGGTAGAACCTACAGGAACATATGTTCCAGCCAATATAGCTCGGTTGGGTCAATACAATAGGCCAGCCCGACCACCGCGTCAAGGTAGCAGCTTCGGTCGGGGAGAACAACTGGAAAGGGATTAAAACAGCACTAACTTCAGCATGCCAGGATGTGCTGAGCTGCAAGGAGCGCCATCACAAGGAATGGATCTCTATCAAAACTCTGAGTAGGATGAAGGAAGAACAAGAAGTCGACAAGTGGTAGCAGTGGAACAAGAGTAGATAAAACCAAGCTACAGGTCAAATACACAGAAGCAAACAAAAGAGTGAAGGGGAGCATTAGGACCAGCAAACGGAAATACGTGGAAGGTCTTGCACTGACAGAGGAAAACGTTGAAAGAAAAAGAAATATGAGACAAAAAATCTTTTAGACAGGTTGATGGCTTTAATAACGAAGTTGGACAATCAAGCACTGACAAAGCTTTATAAAACTTGAGATGGAATCCCAAATAACAGACTTTTAAATGAAGTATCAAAAAAGTTTATGGAACTTCCTCCAAACGCTTTCAATCAAACGTCCGGAATTTTGTTGTCAAAAAGGTAAAGTAATAGCAGTCAGTGGTGCATAAGACGTCCAAGGTAACAGTTGAAGATGAGATACAAATTCATACTTTCATATTTTATTCAATTTAGAAATTAATGAAAGAATTTGTATGAGAAAAATCAACATTGTTACCAAGTAAAACCGATAACCTGTCAAATTTTGCCTAAGGATTACATATCTATTTGGTGCCTCTTCGTACTAATGTTTGTGTTTAAATAATATAAAATAAATAGGGATTACAAGTTTTTTTTAAACTTGTAAAAACTGTACTACAAAATTACTTAAGTGTGTTTACAGATTATTCATCTTTACTTGATAAACAAGACTGTCTCAAACTAGTGATCAAAAACCAGATGCATACGTTCCTTACTGTAGATTAAAATAAACTCGTCCAATAATCCTTACTGACAGATCCACATAGCAAAATTACTACCGAAAAATCGACAACACTGTAATTATTAACCTGCATAAGCGAGATAATTAAAAGTAACTATTAAGCTATTTTATGAGCAGTTTCAGATATATGCTTAAGTTTTTTATCAACAGTCCATATAAAGCACCAAGATTAACAGTACGATTTGTAAGCAGAACCATATTTTGAGGTGCTGTAAAACCTATTAACTCTTTAAATAAACTCACTACTGTAATTGTTAAGCTATATGCTAATGCAGATGTCTAATCGGGCATAAATTACTAGCAGATACTTTACGATTCCTGAAGTTTTTTGTCACTAATCAGTTAATAAACCACGAAATATTTCCTTACATTTTATAATGACGGCGGTTAACTATTTACTGACACTCGTAAAATCCATATAAGTAAAATTAGGGTTATAAAACTTAATCCCCACCTGAGCACTGATTTTCACAACCATAGAAACAATTATTGCTGAGGTACAGTAAACTAAAAAATAAGCTATACTAAAACACTAGCTCATGAATATAATTAAGAGTATTAGTAACTAATGTGGTTGCGACTAATTCTCACATAAATGCTAATACCTATACATATCTGTTTAAGTCTAATGTTATTTTTCCACGAAATCATTCCATGAATAATTATATTTAGAATTAAAAAGTGTATGTCTACGATTATGAAATAGACTGAAAAGTATTGCCTACTCACTTTCGATAGCATCAATCACCTGCTTAATCAGCAATTGGTCAATTTGAGTCAAATACTCAAGGCCTGGAGGACAATTGATCACGGCTGGTCTTTGCATCCACATAACTAAAATAAAAAAAACCTTCAGTTATTTGTACCTATTGAATTATACGATATTATCACAGGTTCTTTGTAATTTTTTAAATGGAACAATAAGTCTAATGCTACTATATATTCAGAAAACTACAAAGGATTTACTTAACAATATAGTGAATGACTGATGACCACAGATAGACTGTGAATAGTGCTATCTATTTAAGTTACTGACAATGTGCTGAGGATAAACACAACTATAAAAAATTCTATGAGTTATCCAAACCTTACAGACACAAGCGTTCTTGAGTAGAGTAATAAAAAAGGTGTTGTATTCAAGGACCAAACTGTAAATGGAGTTAAAGTCATAATTGTCTTGTGATATATATATATATATATATATATATATATATAATATTGGTGTACTTGAGTCAAATCTGACAGAAAAATGAAAAACTTTAGATCTATATTATTTTTCTGTGAGGTGAGGTAGGAAATCAATAATATAGCATTTGAACGTGTGGAATCACGATGAAATTTACACTAGAGACCATTAAATGGTTTGTCAACAAACCAAACCATTTTAACCGTCCCTTACACAATAGTTAGTAAAATTCCCTGTCCTGGAAAGCTCTCAGCTTTTACAGACTAATACATTGATAATAAAGCTATTAGATGACAGCTTTAGGTCTTCAAAACTCCTGAACTTACCATGGTATAAAGTGACCCATGTAGCGGTTATGAATACTGATGTAACCAGGAGCTTGATGGAACTCAATAAACTAATACAAGTTCTTTCGCCAAACATTGGGATTTATTCTATATAGTAAAAACCAGTACTACTGAGCTTCCCGAAACTAAAGTAGGTAGATCAGATTAAAAACTTGCAGATAGGTGGAAATCAAGTCCATAGACCAATAAGTCACCTTAAGCTTAGGATCTAATACTTCAAAAGTACCTGTAATTTACCACTAGAACCAAAACTATGGCCATCCGTCAGCTTTGAGTCGTAGACTACCGACAATTGAATAGAGAATATAAAAAACCTATGACCTTCACTGGTAACCCATCCATAATGACGTGGGGCCCAGTATTTAATATCTCGGAGGCGAGCTAGTACACACTGATTGACTTATTTGCGCTCGCCTTTTGGTGTTGAGGTTCGGTTCCAGAATTTCATTATCGCCTAATATTGGCAGTCTAGATACTCAAATGCACCAGCTCTTTCCAGTTAAGCAATAAATAACAAACTAGTATGTCCTGATTATAGATATTGCGTTCACCCTAGAACATTGGGGTTGTTATTGTGATATAGGGTAAATGGTTGGTTGACTTTAATACTAAAGATTTTACGGTTTGAATCAAGGAAAATAGTTGAAAGATATGAGTCTCTGGTAAACAAACAAGTTTATTAGTCAATCAAGAAAGTAATATGAGTGGATAGATAATTAAATAAAAACAGCGAGCAGAGTTATAACAAAAGATAATGCACAGGAAGTAGCATAATAATAATCATTACATATAAAGCGATAGTGAGTGGATCCCAAGATACGTTTCACATATAAATAACAAGTCAAAACATCATTATGTTATTTCAACCCCCATTTAAGACAAAACACGGTAGGATGTCACTAAACACAAGATTTTTTAACGTTTTTTTGAAGCTACATATCAAGAGGGCTACATGGACATTTAGCAAGATCAGCTCTAAGAGCTTCTAGAAAAAGACCTGTAACCGTACCGAAATAACAATAAACGAGCACAAAAGAATCAACCGGTTAATAAAAGCTCGTAACGAGGCTGTTGCTTATTAAAAGTGTTGATATTAACGAGTGTCTTGGCGTAAGAATATGTAAAGTCCGTATGGAAGCCAGTACTTCGGCCGAGGATTCGTAAAGTTGCGGAATGTCTTTACAAACGGCCTAGACTTCACAAAAATAATCTTCAGTATCCAATGTCTTCGGAAACTGGAAAGGATTGCCCATGATAGAGTTGAGTGAAGAATGCTGGTGAGTGGCCTATGCTCTTCCATTATGATTAACAAGAGTAAGTAAATGATTAAGTATCCAATATTTCCGTACTCAGATAGTGACTGAGCTATTAGATAGTAGTTATTGTACTAACAAATACAACGTTCAACGGCGGTACTGACTGTCAATAGCATGGGCCTTTACATCACCATGACAATTAGCATGTACAGACTATCTCGCTCATTACACCTCACGACCATCAAGCTTCCTCATCTGATGACTGTAAACTTCAGGAACTGAGAGGACATGACTGAGGCGCTTCAGGCCTGATAAGTCTAAAACAATCATCTCTTCAGTCACATCAGATGTGAAGATCGGTAAGGCGATAGTGAAATAGCCCAATAAACACACTAGTGAGTCGGTTGACATGATCAACAACCTACGGCACAAAACACAGAGATCACGGTCTTGCTAGTGAGGTACTCCATACGGGTCGCAAAACCCACAGGAGCCGGTCGGCTAGGAATTGACCAACACGTTTTAAACAACGACCTGCTTAAAAAGCAGAAGACCGATAGTGCTGTAGTGGAGCAGCAGGTAGTGAGACAAACCATCAAGTGCCTCTACATCGGCACAGGAGAACTGGGGAGTAAACTAGGGGGAGTGGGAAACATGCGCTCAGATCGGAGATCATAACATTCATAACTGAGTGATAAGCCAGAGACAGATTAATACTAAAATATATAAGCTTTAAAGCAGTTTTAAGTTGGTGCGCTTTATTATACACAAATTCACAAGTAAACTCATAAGGACATTATTTCCCAGCCACAGAATCCTTGAAGTTGAATAATATGATAACTGGTAAAACCTACGTTGGCCGTTGAACACCTAGGTAAGGCCAAAAATGGTTGACATGGAAGCACTCAGTAGAGATGGCACGATTGGTAATGCAAGATTGATCATCTTGTGAAACCTCTTGCATTTTAAATTAAATACATCACTGTGTCACAACCGTGAATTTATTCTGTAATGGTATTTTGGAAAAAACAACACGGGCTATCACAATAGGACAAGTCAGTGCAGACGACCATGAAACTTTGACGTAATATCTTATAGATTAGGTTGTTATATCACGGAAAGTTCCTACTACTGGATTTCGTTTATTATTATAGTAGCATAAATAAGTTCACTAGTACCGGCCTAGGCCCAAGTAACCCAAACGTATCTAGCAGTGTAATGTCAGACTAATATATAAGACAAGATATAAACCTTAATCACATAACCTTACTACAGATATAAAGACTGCAAGAACAGACCAAAATCGACAGAATCATTGTTTTGTATAAACAACTAAACCTTGGAAATAACTTGCACCATTACACAATAAATCTTAATGAAGAGGCTACCTCAGTGGAAAATTAGTAACACTCAAAAACTGTCTGTATAACCGTTTTCAGCATAGATAGTGTGAATCTATTCTTATCTGTTCCCCACCAGTTTCAATTTTTACCATTTTGTTGCTGTCCGAACATTAACTTCTAGAGGGTGACATTTTAATAAGTCAACTCGAGAGATTGTCAAAAAGAAATTCACGCCGCCAAGTTACATGTAATCTTCCCGACCAAACCAGTATTTTTACAAGAAATAAAAGATAATTTATCGATGATGGAAAGTTTCCATCTATGAATTTTATCCATATGATTTGTTTTATTTCTATCTTGTTGATTATAACTTCACACTCTAGTATAAATCGTTCTGATCTTTGTTACATGACATTTCCAGTTTACAAATCACACAATTTTGAAGCATTTATGTCGTAACGGACGCAAAAAATCACCAATTTTACACTTGACATAGTCAAATTCATTAATGCGTGCACGATTCTGAACTTTGTAAAATATCACAATAATTATAGATTAATAACTGCAAAGTCTGATGACAAAATTAGTCCAAACAAATGATCGCTCAAATATCTTTTGTCTTTGACAAATAGAATACTTAGTTATTTTAACTATTAGTTTGTTTCTGTTGACACATTTTGTCTGAAGTCCCATGCTTTGTGCCTTTACGCATTACTATTTCGGTGTCAGAGTGTGGAATACATATCTTTCAGTTGATGTATAATTCTAGTCTAACCGTCACTGTAAAAGGGCTTGTTATCTAAGAAAGATGGAGGCTGAAGTTACTGACCAGCAAACATAGATGGTGAGGGCCATGATTTCAGTCCCCAATGTTTGTGGAGCATAGCATTTTAGTTGTCCTCGGTTCTTTAAGATTAGTGGTGAGGCAATAATTGTATATATTGAATTTTCCCTCCTACGTTTTCCGGGTGAAACTATAATTTACGGACAACTTTTGAGACGTTAAAGTGACCTTGAGAGAGTCTATCTAATTACTAGGACCAAATGAAGGTGGTAAACCAGTGTGAGGAATTAGAATTATGATTTATAATTGGTGGTTATAGTTAGGAATTCGATTTAGGGCTTTTCATCGCTAATTGACGTCAGCTAAAATGCCAAGACGCAATTTAACCGAATAAGTGGATGAATTTCGCGCCAAAATCTAAGATCTGTTGTTTTAAATCTGATTCGTTCGTTCAGCAAATTATAGTTTTGCCATTTTCTGCCTCTTGTGCGTTTGACCTTATAAGGTTTCTACACTTCACTAAGTCGTCTTGTCACATTTATTTTTGGACGCTTGAGCGCAGTCCTAACCGTTGGCATTCGATAATAAGAACAAAAAATGAGGGGCCATAAATAAGTAAAGTCTATGTTGATATATAACTTGAGAGTTCATACATATTAGATTCCTGTCGATTTATAGAAATCAATAGACATTGTTGCTACTTGACTGTTCAGCTTTTTTTCCATTAGCATAGGCCTAACTAGTGCGCTCTACGGACAGGCCGAGGCCCCCAGTTTTCTTTTTCTAGGATTCTCACAGCGCTGAATGGATTTTTCTCCTAGAATTTCGGAAAATGACTCAATTCTTATCTAATTAATATTAACTGTAAATTTCATGTTATATGATAAGATCTCAGTTCAACATATTCATGGTATATGTGATCATATTCATACAATAATTCATAATCATATTCATTTGGTCTATACGATCAAACAAGAACCTTATATAATCATACTCGACAAAAAATTGCATTCCATATTTTGCATTCTATTCATCATATCCTGTTTTGATGCTATAACCCACATATTTTATGTATTTACGGGATCTATTCATACCTCTACCTAATATCCATATATATATGTAATCGTGTATGACAAAGCACTGTACTCACTATTTTATATACTATCCTTTAAGTTGTATTTGGATGCCATAATCCATTTATTTTCCGAAATTACCTGTTCAATGCGGCGAACCTATCATATATTTTGGTCAGTATTTTATCCATAAAGCTGTTCCACATATTTGGTCACAAAGCACCACAATAATCTTAGATGGTAATAATCTTTTGACGACTTATAGCTGTAGCCTCCCAAATGTTAAATAATGGAGGCTTTCAGTTTGTATATATATCATATACCGTACCCATTTTGTTTGATACTAATTATCGAAGGTTCTATATTACTTTATTATATAAGGCTATCTTTCCGTGTAATATGTGTTAAAATTTACACAATGTGCACCTTTATCCTGCCTTCACACATGTACTGACATACACACTGCATCTTTACTACGATCTTCCTGCCATTCTCCCCTCCTGTTTTTAATACCTTCACTAATCCTCACGATATATTCACCCTTGTTTTAAACATAGGTTTTGATTTCTAGAGTATCTTGAGCCCTCGGCATTGAATTTTTCACCCATTTCTATTTCCGGCATTTCGTTCGACCCATCTGCTATTTATCACTTCCTTATCATTTCACAAACGAAAACGAATCCCCATGCTTCAAGGCGTCCAGCCAAACATAGGAAGACGACACAATCCAATATTACTACCAACACGACGAGACGAACTACTTTGTTCATCTGAAAGCAGTCAAGCTTATGCCAGCTGTCTCCATTTCAGGTATGTTGAGGACTCTTGGTAAACAGTGATGATAATTACAACTGCAACCAAATGGATGATATAAAAAAGTTGCAAGTTGACATGAACATTTTTAATCCGCCTAAGTATCTCATCAACCCAAACCTCACTGAGACTCCACACCAAATGAACGATATAAATAATTTCCTAGATCGTTTTGCTTCAAAGGTATTTTAAAGAATAAGACGGCCTAGCGATCTTTAATATACCCGACACATATGCACCTAATGTATCGAATCTACTCCTATTAAAGCCAGCAACATGACGCATGTACCATGTGTGTGCACAAGATTAAAAGTCACCCCGATATGCACTTACCGATCTTGTTCAAATTCAACTAGTCTGCAGACGCCAGTAAGTTTCTAGCTTTCTTCACTCCAACGAGACAAAATCAGATTTTCAAGGGTAATAAAATTCTTCCAGATAGGAGACCATGCCAGCGAAAAGCAGAAAGAGCTGGTTACAGACTACCAGAGTTGTAAAACTAAGTCCAATTATAAGAGGACATGTAACTTTACAAATATGCCACCACTGATAAACTCTACTGAATCTCCTAAAGTTCAAGACCTAATAGAAAGTAATCCCGACGTGGGTGGTGTTTATCCTCTTAAGAATGTTGACTTGGATCTAACTCTTAGTAGTTGTGCTGATGACGAATGGGATAACATGGTCCAAATCCCTGTCAGTACAACATCCATTTACAGTGACCGTGCAACGGATAACGTGAAGAATAGTCATAATATTTATAT